GTCCATCCTCAGCCCGTAGTCATACTTATACAACCCCACAATACTAAACGGGTTGCACGACAGCGCGGGCAGGTACGGGAAATACGGGCACTGGTAGACCAAGGAAGCGGTGATTAGCAGGAAGTTGTACGCTCGGAGGTAGTTCAGAACTGTGGTTTGGCCTCGGAGAATCGCCGCGTGTTTCCGCGTGCTGAGGAGGGAGAGGGCGAGGTAGCCGCAGTGTAGGAGATCGTATTGGAGAGTGCCTGTGGCGAAGACTAGTATGAGCACGATCCAGAGGAGGTATTTGTAGTAGAGGAATCTCCAGTGGTCCAGAAAGGTCCAGCTGGGTGACGGCCCTTCTGAGAGATCGTGCCAGGGGGAGGCGGGAGGGTGCGGGGAGGAGGAGGGGGATGGGTGGAGGGAAGGAGGAGGCGGGAAGGAGGGGTGGGTGTTGTGGGGGGAGCGGGGGGTTGAGAGTGGAGGGAGGGGTGGCGGAGGGAGAGAGGTCCACCGGGTGAGGTGCGGTGTGGTGTCGAGCGGGAATGATGGGTTTGGATTGGTAGAGGAGGAAGAGGAGTCAGAGGACGAGGCGGAGGAGGAGGAGGAAGGGGAGAGGAGGAGGCAGGAGAGGAGGAAGACGATGAAGTAGGCGCAGAGGATCCGACGGTCGTCCACAATGCCACCTGGCAGCCAGCAAAGGGAGGGAGGAATGGCACTTCTTGAGTAACAAGACGACTTCTGAGACATGTCGAAGAACAGCAAAGTAGGCGCAGAGGATTCGACGGTTGTCCACAATGCCACCTGCCAGCCAGCAAAGGGAAGGGGAATGATGCTTTAGAGAAAAAATACGACTTTCTGAGACATCTCAAAGAGCGGCAAAGCAGGCATGGCAGAGAATGCAACCGTCCACCACCACAATGCGTAGCAGAGAGTAGGCGTTCCCTGCCGGCAAGTGGAGGGCAGAGAGAAGGGACAGGGAGGTGCAAGGGGTGCATGAGGCGACGAGTGGAAGGGAATGAATTGAGTTCAGGTCAGATGAGAGGGAGTTACAAAGATATAAGACGACACTGCTGAAAGGCCAAGAGCATCATCATGGGAAGCGCATTCACTGATTAAGTGAGGAAGACCCATCCAGCAGCTCAGCTCACCCAACCGCAGCTCAGCTCACCCAACCGCAGCTCGGCTCACCCAACCGCAGATCAGCTTGACTCACCGAGCCAGCAGTCCCAGCAGGTGGGGTCGTTGGGATCCGTGCTGAGCCAGCAGTCCTAGCAGTTGCGGCTGTGCGTCTTGGGCGGGTGAGGCCGCCTGTTGTACCTCTTCATTTCTATCACTTATCTCTCCATGGTACTCATTCCTTACCTATAAGCACCCATCCCAACCGCACTCGCCCAGCCAGCAGTCCCAGCAGGTGGGGTCTTTTGAGTCCGTGCTGAGCCAGCAGTCCTGACAGTTCCGGCTGTGCGTCTTGGGTGGGTAATGGGGCCGCCTGTTGACTTCAAGAAACAACCCAACCGCAGCTCACCTCACCGAACCGCAGCAAACTCGACTCACCGAGCCAGCAGTCCCAGCAGGTGGGGTCCTGTGAATCCGTGCTGAGCCAGCAGTCCTGGCAGTTGCGGCTGTGCGTCTTGGGCGGGTGGGGCCGCCTGTTGATGCTGCTGAATAGCCCTCCTCCACTCACGTTGCTAACGTCCGCTGAATGCCCAACAGAGTTCTCGCCAAGCCCGTTAGGGAAATACGCAGGCGGGTTCAAGGGAGAGCTTGGGTGCGCTTGCGGAGGGAAGGAGAGCGAGAGCAAGCTAGGATGAGGCTGTGGTGGGGGGAACACACTTAGGAGAAAACGCTGCCTGTCTTGAAGCGACTGTGGATTCAATAGCGATCCAGGTGTGTCCAAGGGAGAGAGTCCGGAAGGGTAATGAAAAGGAGGTGGTGGGGGATCAGACGGGTAGTGAAAGGTAGGGGATGCAGGAGGGGTGTGCGAGGGAGGGGGTGCAGGGTTGTGGTTGAAGGGAGGTGGGCCGGCAAGCATGTAGTACTGCCAGAGGGTGATTGCAGCGAAGGTGACTGTAAGGAGCGGCCAGAGCAAGCGGACGAGGTGTGGCGGGAGGGCGATGCAGAGGCCGACAATGGATGTGTAGAGAAGGGAGACAATGTTCTTGACTGCGAAACTGGCGACCAGTAGGAATAGCACAACGACCTGCAGGGTAATGGGAGGAGAGGAGATAGTCTCATGAAAGGAATGAAATGAAGCAGCATGGCGTGTAGCCATCGCCATATGCAGAGAGGCAGCATGTTACTTAAAAAGCACAAGGAGGGACGGAAGGAAGGGTCAGCAGCAGTATCAACTACCAAAGGACAAGGATAACAAGACGAATGAAAAAAGACACAAAAAGTCGAACCGAAGCAATGGTGCCTACAAGAAATCCATGGAGTGAAAAGAAGGATGCCACTGGGCTTTGCACCAACGTCCACATAAGAGTTGTCCACCCAAAAAAGGATCATGGTGACCAATATTTCCTGTTTTACTAGTGTTGTCATCGCGACATCTCGTTGGGACCAACTGCGGGGGTGTCCATATCGAGATGTGCGGTTTCAAGGCAAAAAAATGACTGCTCTTTTTTAACCTCGAGCTGCCATCCTTGGTCACTCAACACCTTCTTCATGATGTCAACAGTAATAGAGGTTATTGTGTACTATCTGGACGACTCCATTGGCGGAGGGCTCCGCGTATTTTCGGCAGCCGACCGCACCGTGCTACAACATACATGCGCGGGGTTTACTGAAGGTTGCATCGACCTCGGAATAGCGTACGCTCAAGCCCTTGCTACTATCCGTCGGTTAGGCGCGACTTTCACTGTTTGTGCAACCACAAAACTAACTGCCTGCTAGTAGCAAGGGCCTGAGCGCACGCTAGTCCGAGGGCGAGGCATCCTTTAGTAAACCTCGCGCACGTATCTTTTAGCACGGTGCGGTCGGCTGCTGAAAATACGCGGAGCCCTCCCCCAATGGAGCCGTCCAGATAGTTCACTATAGCCTCGATTACTGTTGACACCATCAAGAAGGTGTTGAGTGACCAAGGATGGCAGCTCGAGGTGCAAAAGGAAAAATATTGCCTTGAAACCGCACATCTTGATATGGACATCCCCGCAGTTGGTCCCAACAAGACGTCGCAACGACAACCTTAGTAAAATAGAGATTATTGATCACCAAGATTTCGTTTAGGTTGTCCTTTGACTTGACTCAGAAGAATCAGGACAAACCAAGGCAACAATTGGCACCTGAACTCCATGAAGCGAGATGAAGGTGCATATATGAACTCCATAGAGTGAACGAATTGGGCACTTACGTGAAATCCGTAGAGTGAAAAGAAGTGTGCCACTGTGTTCTGCACCGCTGCCCACATCGACCGCAGCTGCTGCCGGTACTGCCGCGCCTCCTCTGATTGGTCCTCCTCCTCATCCTCCTCATCATATTCATCATCCTCATCAAACTCATCATCATATCCATCAAAGAACCCATCATCATCATACGCAGACCCAATTTTATCAGTTACACCTATGCCCCTACCATTGTTCCCTTCCTCGATCTTCCCCTTCTCACTCTTCCCCTCCCCTCCCCCCCCCCCCCCCCCCTCACCCTCCTCTTCCCCCTCTTCCACGCTACATGTGTGAACCTGAGCCTCCTCCTCATGCCGCTCCAGAGAAGCACCACTCACTGCCTTCACCCCTCGCCTCCAAGACCCTCCCAGGGAGAAAACAGAGGACGAGATCGAGGAGGAGGACACAGAGGAGGAGGCATCAGCACCTCGTGCCCGTTTCTCCAAGTCCCCCACACTCCATGAACGGAAGCTAATCAGCTTGTACACCCGTTTTGACCCCCCTCCACCTCCTTCCCCGCCCCTCCCAATCTGGCTTTGAGGGGTAAGCTCCTTCTGTGCGTCCCCTTTTGTGCTGTCTCCTCCTCCCCCTCCTCTTCCTCCTCCTCCTCCTCTTCCTCCTCCTCCTCCTCCTCCTCCCCTCCTCCTCCTCCTCCTCCTCCTCCTCCTCCTCCTCCTCCTCCTCCTCCTACTACTCTCCCCTCTCCTCCCACATCTCCTCCTCCCCCTCCCACTCCCCTCCCTAAACCTCCCTCCTCTCCCCCTCTCACCGTCATCTCCTCTGCATGCACCGAAGCAGCATGCCGAGCCTCAGCCACAGCTTCGGGAGGCACAAACAGCACGCAAAGCTCACCCTTAGGGTCGGCCCGAAGCTCCGGCGGAAGCTCGGCAAGCCAGTGGCAGGAGGCGTGGTGGAGCAGGCAAGCAGCTAGGAGCACTGATTTGGCAGTACACCCAGACGTTAAAGCCCACATTCGCCCCCCTGCGACAGTGCTAATAGCAGTGTCTTCATATAAGACTAGGCCCAGCCACTGCACAAGAAAGGATGAGGAATATGGCAAGAAAAACGACGAGTTTAAGGTGCTTCAGAATAGAGCTACAGTTCAGCTAGCAGCAGTGTCGTTGTATAGGAATAGCAAGAGGAGATGCAGCATGGGGGATGGGAAAATCATTTCTGAGGGTAGTTAGGACTTGCTACAGCAGCAATGGTGCTGTCTTCTTACAAGCCTAGGCCTAGTCACTGCAGAAGACGAGATGGGGAGAGGGGTATGACAAACGAATCGATTGAGGTGCTTCAAAATCATTCTTGAAGCACCAACAGTGCTGCCATTCACAATACATTGGTACACGCCCTAAACCCCACAATCTTTGCCACCCACTCACGTGCAGGATCACACTGTGCTGCTTCAACCATGCAGCCCCTCACTGCGCCACCACCATTACCCAATCTCCAATCTAAATCCCTCAACCCTAAACCCTTGCACTCTACACCCTGAAACCCACAACTTCTGTCTGCTCCTCACCTGCAGAATCACGCTGTGCTGCTCCACCCATGCAGCCAGCCCCCACTGCGCCACCACCACCTGGAACCCAAACTCCCATAAAATCCCTGAGAGCTACACCCTAAGCCCCACAAATTCTAACACGCACCTGCAGAATTGCGCTGTGCTGTTCCACCCAGGCCGTCAGCCCCCACTGCGCCACCACCACCTGGAACCCAAACTCCACCACCAGCGCCGCCCCTCTTGTCCCTTATACCCTGAACCCTGCAGTCTCTGCCCCTCACCTGAAGCATTGCGCTGTGCTGTTCCACCCACCCCGCCAGCCCCCACTGCGCCACCACCACCTGGAACCCAAACTCCGCCACCAGCGCCGCCCCTCCATATAAGAACATCCATCTCGGCGCCGTGCCCCTCACAGCCCTGAGCCCCACACACCCCAGCACCGCCAGCAGCAGGAACCCAAACCCTAACGCGCTGACAGGATACAGTGCAGCGAAAAACGCCGCGCAGGGGAGGGCGGTGGGGCAGTGTAGGATGATCAGGCGCTTGAAAAAGGACACCCAGCCGAAGAAGCCTATAAGGGGGTATTGTTCGTGGGACCAGGAGATGACTGGGGGTGGAGCGCTGGTTGCCCCTGCTGCTGCCGAACCTCCAGGTTCGACGACTGGTTCGGATGCCGAAGCTGCTGCTGCTGCTGTTGCTGCAATAGCAGCGTCAACTGCAGAACCAGCAGCAGCAGCTCCAGCACCACCAGCAGCAGCGGCAGTAGGAGGGAAATGGAAGGATTTGGAGCCTTTGGCACTGAGATGGAGCTTACGAGAGGGAGGGGCAGAGAGGAGAGGAACTGTGGTGGCATGTGGTGCTGCTGCTACGTGTGCACCTGAAACCTGCCTTCCCTGCTGACTGGCTGGAAATGCTTGAGAATCAAGCTCTTGCTGCTGCTGCTGCTGCTGCTGCTGCTGCTGCCCCTGCTGCTGCAGTTTTGGAAATGCCTCAAAGCAGAAGTAAGCGCGAAGGCAGATCAGCAACGTGGCGCAATCAGCAGTTGCCACGTGTACAGGCGTGCCCAGCGGAGCAAACAGCCCCAGCCGCTCCAGAACAGACAAATCGATCCCAAAGTGGGCGGTTAAGATGGATCGAAGCTCGGGGTACAAGCTACAGTACCGAAGCAGGAGCACCGTAGCTGCAAACGAGGCAGTCAGTGGCGCCATGTAGGCTCGGAGAGCTGGTGCGGAGGTACGGAAGGCGGAGGTTCGGGAGGAGGAGTGCAACGCAGAGGAGGATCTTTCAGCGTGGGAGGAGGTCTGGTGAGAGGCTTGGGAGGAGGTTCGGGAGGAGGATGGCCAAAGAAAGAGCCAGACCCAGGTGACGAGGAGCAGGAGGAAGCCAAGGGAGACGGCAGATGGGTGCATATGGGTTAGAATGGTGAAGAATGCGGTGAGGATGAAGTAGGTGTTGGCCTCTGTTGCCAAGGCAGAGGGGTATGCCAAGCAGAGGTACGGCCCTGCAAGCAAGCAGAATGAAACAGATTGGGTGATTGGGAGAAGGGGGGTTGGGTGATTGGGGAGGAGGAAACTTTTTACTAGGCGGCTAAACTAAACAGATGACTTTGTTGCAAAAGCAGAGAGTATGCCAAGCAGAGATACAGATGTGCAAGCGAGTAGAAGGCCGCCAGCTACCTCCAGAACCAACCGACCTACGGATTGAAAGCGGTACGCACGCACCGCACAGTACAACCCGCTCTCAGCACAACCAACACACAGCACAACCCGCACACAGTACCACCACACACATGTACAAGGAGGGCCCTTGGAGGGGGGCAAGAGGAGACTGTCCGGGTGTGGCTATAACTGAAGAGCCGCAGCCATGGGAGGTGGGCAGGAGGCCGCTAGCTACCCACAACACAACTCACAGCACAGCACAGGACGCTCTTGCGCCACACACACACACACGTACAGGGAGGGCCCTTGGAGGGGGGCAGGAGGAGACTGTCCGGGTGTGGCTTTAACTGAAGAGCCGCAGCCATGGGAGGTGGGCAGGAGGCCGCTAGCTACCCACAACACAACTCACAGCACAGCACAGGACGCTCTTGCGCCACACACACACACACTTACAGGGAGGGCCCTTGGAGGGGGGCAAGAGGAGACTGTCCGGGTGTGGCTTTAACTGAAGAGCCGCAGCCATGGGAGGTGGGCAGGAGGCCGCTAGCTACCCACAACACAACTCACAGCACAGCACAGGACGCTCTTGCGCCACACACACACACACTTACAGGGAGGGCCCTTGGAGGGGGGCAGGAGGAGACTGTCCGGGTGTGGCTTTAACTGAAGAGCCGCAGCCATGGGAGGCGGGCAGGAGGCCGCTAGCTACCCACAACACAACTCACAGCACAGCACAGGACGCTCTTGCGCCACACACACACACACGTACAGGGAGGGCCCTTGGAGGGGGGCAGGAGGAGACTGTCCGGGTGTGGCTTTAACTGAAGAGCCGCAGCCATGGGAGGTGGGCAGCAGGCAGCGAGCTCGAGCAGCGGCCATGGGAAGGGGTGGTGGGGGAGAGAGCGTGTGGTAGTGAGGGATTGCTGCAGGGAGGAACGGGCGCGAGCCATAGCGTAGGCGAGAAGTAGAATGCCCGCTGGGGGGAAGATGGCCTGGGGGGTCAGGACGGGGGGTATGCCTGGGAACAGGAGGGGGGAAGAGGGGTGGGGAGTGGGGCCAGGAAGAAGAAGCGGTGAGTAGGTAGGTGACTGGTGAGATGCCACACCAGGAGTGCTGCAGGGAGGAACGGGCGCGGGCCATGGCATAATCAAGCAGCAGTATGCTTGCTGGGGGGAAGATGGCTTGGGGGGTCAGGGCAGGAGGGATGCCTTGGGACGAGGGGGAGGAGGGGGAAAAGGCACAGAGGTGATTGTGGTAAGGCGGGTGGTATACTGCTTGCAGTGAGGAGTGGGCGCGAGCCATGGCATAGGCGAGAAAGAGGAAGAGGGGGGGCGGGGGTGGGGAGGGGGGAGGGGGGTGGGGGGGGAGGGTGTTGCAGAAGAGCGTGTGGCGGTGAGGGTTAGGCGTAAGGAGGAGCGAGCGCGAGGGAGAGCGGCACTACGGGAAATGGAAGAGCAGGGAAGGTGATTCAGTGGAGAAAGGATTTCGAATGTGGGCTGGCACTCGACAGTGCCACGTACCACATCAACTTCGAGCTCCACCGCAACCGCATGCAGGAGTTGGCTCATCTGCCGGCCGTGAAGGTCAAGTACGGTGCCTGGAGGATTGCTACTCTGCTGCACCACCCCCGCAATACTGCGTTCCTGCAGTAAACGCTGTGCTCTTAGACTGTCGACATGAGGACAGCATCTGCTGGGAAGACGCAAGAGCGCTGTCCTCATGTCGACAGTCTAGGAGCACAGTGTTTACTCCAGGAACGCAGTGTTGTGGGGGTGGTGCAGCAGAGTAGCAATCCTCCAAGCACCGTACTTGTCCTTCACGGTCGGCAGATGAGCCGAGTTCTGCATGCGGTTCCGGTGAGGCTCGGAGTTGATGTGGTACATGGCACTATCGAGTGCCAGCCAGCCCTAATTCGAAGCCGCAAAGCGAGGCAGAGCGCACAGTGAGAAAGGGAAGAGCAGGGAAGTCAATTCTGGAGAAGATGACAGCAGGGCCTTCTAGTAGGGCAGCAGAGGGAGATGCGCGAAGGCTGGGTCAGTGGAGAGAGGACTCAATGGTTGCTTACTGAAAATGCTCATATATTCGCTTATCTCACCAAGGAGTGAGAGCAGGGCCTTCCAGTAAGCGGGCAGAGGGAGATGCGCCAAGGCCGGGTCAGTAGCAGTGAAGAGCAGCAGGAGGTGCAGCGAGGAATAGGCGATGCAGGCTGAGTACACAGCGTGGGCTCGTGAGGGGTAGACGAGCAGCAGCACCAGCAGCAACACTGCCATGCCAGCACAGCAGTACACACACATGGGGAGGGGGGGGGGGGGGGGGGGGGGGGGGAGGGAGGGAGGGTCAGAGCTTGTGGAGGAGTAGGAGATGCAGGCTGAGTACACAGAGTGGACTCGTGAGGAGTACACCAGGAGCAGCAACAGTGCCATAACAGCCCACCAGTACGCACACACACAGAGACATGGGGACATGCATACCATAAGGAGCACGCAGGAGGGCGAGCTTGTCAGCAGCATGGACGAGCATGAGAAGGACAAAGGCAGAGCCAGGATTGGATACCACATAAATGAAACTGCTCATACGTACCATAGGGGTGCACGCAGGAGGGCGAGCTTGTCAGCAGCGAGGACGAGCACAAGAAGGACAAACAGCAGTGGCTACCTTATGATTGAAACTGCTCCTACTTACCATAGGGGGCACGAAGGAGGGTGAGCTTGTCAGCAACTGGACGAGCACTAGAAGGACAAAGGCAGGGCCAGGATTGGGTACCATATATGAATGAAACTGCTCATACATACCGTAGGGGGCGCGCAGGAGGGCGAGCTTGTCAGCAGCGTGGACGAGCACGAGGAGGACAAAGGCAGAGAAGGCGAGCAGACGGGCAGCCCAGAGGGAGAAGGAGAGCAGGAAGCACAGCCACCCATCATGCCCTGCCGCTGCCAGTTCTGCTGGCAGTTCGTCACTGCCATGCGCTGCTGACGCTGAAATCGTTTCTCCACTGCTCCCTCTAGTACTACCGTCACCCCTGTCAGTGCCCCCAGCCGCAGCAGCAGCAGCAGAAGAAGAGGAAGCAGCAGGAGCAGCAGCAGTATTGGCAGAAGAGTAGGAAGCGGTAGAGGAAGAGGAGGAAGAAGGGGGGATGTAAACAGAGAAGGAAGAGGAGGAGGCAGTAGAGGAAGAGGAGGCGGGAAAAGAGGCAAGGGTGGCGGTGCAGGCAAAGACGTAGGCTGTGAGGAGGAGTGCTGTGGTGAAGTGGAGAGCGAGGGGGAGTGATGGATTGGGGAAGCGAAGCAGCCCAATGGTTTGACAGATGGTGGCCTGGACAGCACGAGGGAGGGAAGAGTGGAGAGAGGCACGAGAGGAGAGAAGGGAAAGATGAAGATGCAGACTCACAGAGCAACGAACCGGCAAAATCAACAAAACTTTCACTTTTTCCCTTGAAAGAGGAACTTTCACTTTCAGATGGTGGAGCAGGTGAGTTATTCAACTAGATAAGATGCTATAAGCCATGCAAGCAGATGGGGCAGGAGGCAGCCTATCAAAGCCACAGAGTGGCAAGTTTGAAGAGAGCTGTATCATTGACTTACAACGGGGAGTGGGGCAGGAGTGATATTAACGAGGTAGGATGCTATCAGCCACACGAGCAGATAGAACAGCAGGAAGCGGTGGGTGTTGCAGAGGGCGGTGGTGGAGGGGGAGGAGACAAGGAGGAGCAGGAGGGAGGAGAGGAGGGGCCATGCGAGGAGGCAGTGAAAGGAGAGGCAGAAGAAGACAAGCAATGCCGTGCAGATTGCAGGGCCGAAAACGACCAGCGTGGCACAGAGGCGCTGAGATGTGGGTGCCCTGGGGGATCCGGAGCAATAAAGGGGTTGAACGAGGTGAAGTGGGATGTGTGGGGAAAGAAGAGATTCCAAAAGCATTGGCTGACAGAGGGATGACGTGGCAGACACTCAGAGAGAATTTACATGTGGATGATGACCTAGGGGTAAACACTTAGCGAGACATAGGGGTTAAAAGAGACGGGGGTTGGGGTGAATGAACAGTAAATGGTGGGGGGTGGGAGGAAGATCGCACCACGACAAGACAGTAAGTAACCTGGCGCCTGAGCCTCTTCCCATTGCCATCCTCTGCGTCTGCAGGGTTATTTTCTTACCCACCATCTCCTCGACTCTCAAGGCAAAGAGAGAGCTCAGCACAACAAATTAGAGAGAGCGGGGGAGCGCACCACGACAAGGCAGAAAGCCGGCGCCTGAGCCTCTTCCCCTTGTCATCCTCGGCGTCTGCACCTTCCTCCCCCAACTCCTCTCCTCTCGACCCACTCCCTGATCCCAACTGCCTCAGTGGCACATCCTTCTCTTTCCTCCAACTCCCCTCTTTCTCTCCGCTCTGCTGCCCCCTGCTCTCAACCCCACCCCTTGCCTGTGCCCCCCCTCTCCACTGCACACCTCCTCTCAGACCAGTCCCTCTCACTCTAGCTGCTAGCAGTCTTGCAGCCTCCTCCTCCTGTTGCTCCAGCTCCCACTCCCCTCCCCCACCCTTCCCCTCGTCCTCCCCAACCGCATCCTCTCCCTCCTCCTCCTCCTCCTCTATCACCTGATACAGAATCTGGGATGCTTCCGAGGCTAGAAGAGGCAGGCTCGGCCCGAGCCAGGCGGAGGTTTGGGAGGAACGTTGGGGGTGCAGGTGCGGACGTGGAGCTTGGGACGAGGGTGGACGGTAGGAGGACCGAGTGCGGGAAGAATGATGGGAGGAAGCGAGGGAGCGATGGGAAGATAGCTGGTGTGAGGGAGAGGTTGGAGAGGGAGGGGGGAGTAGGGATACAGAAGAAAAAAGGCCGAGAGGCTGAGTTACAGAGGGGAGTCGAAGGGAGAGGTGCCAATGGGGAGCAAGCCAGACGAAACGGGGAAACACACACACACACACACACACACACACACACATCACACACACACACACACACACACACACACATCAGCACACCCACCAGTGCAAAGGCGGAGAGCAGGAGAGCCGTTTCCAGCACATGCAGCAATTGCCGCCGACCCAGAATCTCCCTCACGTCCAATCGGAAGAGGCCAAGCGTCTGGCCCCACTGCTCGAAGGGCGGCCAGTGCTGTGAGAGAGACAGTTGGAAGAGAAAGAGGGCGAGGATGTGCAGAGCAACGTAGGCGCGCAGCAGAGCACGTCGCCTGGAGAGGAGGGGACAAGGGTAGAGAACAAGTGAAGGTGTGAGACAGAGGAGGGGTATGGAAAAGAGAAGAGGCAGCTGGAAGAGAAAGAGGGCGTGGATGTGCAGAGCAAAGTAGGCGCGCAGCAGAGCACGGCGCCTGAAGGGTAGGGGAGCATAAGGTGTGGACAGAGAGGGATTTGGAAGAGAGGGAGATAGTAGAGGAAGAGCAATGCAGGCAGGCAGCAGAACACGGCGTCTGGTTTTGGGACGTCTCAAAACTCGGTTTTTGAGACGTCTTAAAACCCAATGCAGACATGCAGCAGAGCACGGCGTCTGATGAATGCACAGGAACGGGGAGAACGGAAAGTCGTGAGAAGGGGAGGAGAGGCAGGGAGAGGAGAAGGCAAGGTGAGAACAAAGAGGGAGCTCGAAGACAATTAAGTGCGCGATGATTATGTGCAAGTACGATTCAAAACTCGATGGAAGATTCAGGCGCTTGAGGGAACGAGTGCGCTGATGACGTGTCACCTTAAGGGCCGTAGATGCAACAGCAGGGGTCGAGTCGCGAGCCACCAACGGCGACGAGAACGAAGGGAACCTAGGGAACGTGCACCCGCACTGGTCTACTCGCGAGAATGGACCTCTGAAGAGAGGATTTGGACCGAGTCGTCTCACCTGAATGGCCGTAGGTCTAACAGGCGGGGTCTAGTCGCGAGCCACCAGCAGCAGGCGAGAATGTAGGGAGAGTAGAGCCAGCAAGGCCTGAGAAGGGCGAGCGACGCGAGAACGAGGATCTGGAGAGTCGCAGCCATGGGAATAGAAAGTCTCGTCGTCGTTCTGGCGTCATTGGCTCCGTCCGGAGTGACGCCATTGGCGCTTAAGCTTCTCGATCCATCGGGACCGTTCGTGCCACGTGGCATGAGGGGTTGATCTGGTTAACGAGGGGTGGCAAGAACGGAGAGTCGTTCCGCAGGGTTGCTACGATAGCGCGTCACCATTGTATAGCTGTGCGCTGTAGTTCGGCTCAGGCGAAAAGAGTTCGACGCGAAGTTTCGCTACGACCTACTGTCAGCCTCAGTGCTACCGTACAGGTCTAGATACATCTTATAGCCTTGCCTCCAAGCTTCATAGTAAACACATCTCATGAAACGAAAGCGATAACTGCAGCGTCACATGCGGAGACTCATGCAGTCTGACATATCGAGCACGGCACATGCCGGAATAGTTCACAACATTGACTCTATTATTCTTTGTGCATATTATTGATGTCTTTTCTGATATTTTTGCAGATTATTGTTAGATGAATAATACCAGCACCTTGGACTGAGGACGCGTCACAAGTAGAACATCGATCCTGCCTAGAATCGGTGTTTAGGTGGTTACACATTTTCGTTTATTTTCGCTAACGTACAGTTTTCCCTTCTAAGTCAGGCGATCGATGTGCCCCTGTCACACATCGATCGTGCAATTTCGTCCACATCGGGCAATTTTGCCCCATGTTTTTACGATCGTGTCACTTGAAACTTCAAAGCAGTCGTGACACACCGATATGGCGATCGGTTTGACAGGTTCGGTGAACAACCCTGATCCTTCCTCGATATTTTACTTGTGACGCGTCCTGAGCTTGGAATTTCGATACCGCATTTTGTCTCACGATGAATGATGAAACCATGTGAAATCTGAAAACTACGGCAGTTTGGTCTGGTGTAGAGCGGTTTCAATCACAGAAGCTACGGACACAAGCCATGGATGAAACGTGGTCCTCGGGAATGTCGGAGAAAAGGCTACCAGCGACCCGAGATGACATGCTGACCTGACAGTTCCTAGGTTCTGACAACTGCCCAACAATCCCGCCAATCCGCTTGCGCCAGGACAACGCTTCGTTCTCCGAGCCAACATCACTATGGCACCCGCTCAATATTGCGCGGAGTTTTCATGCTTTCAAGTGTAGATATTACCACTAAAATGCAATTTGAAAAGGCTATCTTGAACAAGCAGCAGCCTTCACCCTCACCTACATTTCCACTGTAATTTACAGGCCACAGAAGCCTCTCAACCGTTTCAAAATTTGCTTCTATGTGACCGGATGACCCCCAGCAGCTACTCTTGACAAGTACCGTAAAAGATTCAAAGCTTGCTCCTATGTTGACCCTGCGAAAAAGAACCATGTGCAGCCTGTCTGGATCGGCGCTCCACGGCACGAGACACCTCCCGGATGACCTCCTTGTCAAACACACGCGGCCGGTACAGCCAGCCCCCTCCGTCCACCACCAAGGTTGCTCCGTTTACATACTTCCCTGCCAGGTGCAAAGCGGGGTGGGGGGGAGAGAGGGGGAGGGGGAGGGGGAGGGGGGGGGGGTGGGGGGAGGGGGGGGGGTGGTTGGATCCTGAGGTAATATGTACTGGTTTGTCGAATAGGCCAATAAAAAAACTGACACAGCCAACCCCCTCCATCCACCACCCCTGAGGAGCTGTATCAAGGGAACTGTTTACGCGCTGTCAGCCAAACAATCACCTGTGTCAGCAGTGAGGTAGAGGGCAGCCATGGCGATGTCCCACGGTTCACCCATGCCCATCTTTATGGACGCACAAGACCACTAAAGAACAAGTCACCTGTATCAGCAGTGAGGTAGAGGGCAGCCATGGCGATGTCCCAGGGGACCCCTATGCGCTCCATCAATGCCCAGCTGTATGCACCCACACAGCCCCTCAAGAGCCACTGTATCAGCAGAACCACGCACCTGTCTCAGCAGTGAGGTAGAGGGCAGCTATGTCCCAGGGGTCTCCCATGCGCTGCATTGGGTTCAGCTCCCCGGCATCGATGCCCAGCTCTGAGCGCCCCAACTTCGCACCCACAGGACCTCTCAAACCACACGTACCAGTGTCTGCTGTGAGGTAGAGGGCAGCCATGGCTATGTCCCACGGGTCTCCCATCCTCTGCATTGGGTTCAGCTCCCCCGCATCTATGCCCAGCTCTGACGGCGCCAGCTTTGCCATGCCTGGCGTCGAACCTATCGGCCCTGGAGCTATCGCGTTGGTTCGGATGCCGTAGTCTGTGGCCCATTCCAGAGCTAAGGACCGGGTGGTGGCATCCACTGCAGCCTGGGAAAGTGGGAGATGGGTGACATAGGGTCCGTTTTGATGCCGTAGTCTGATGCCCACTCCAGGGAAAAGGACCGGGTGGTGGCATCCACTGCAGCCTGGGGCAATGGAGAGGGTGAGTGATGGGGCAATTCAGTTGTGTTGGTTCAAATGCCGTAGTCCGTGGCCCACTCCAGGGCTAAGGAGCGGGTGGTGGCATCCACTGCAGCCTGGGAGGGGATGGTGGTGGAGAGGAGTGGAAGATGGTACAATTGGGTTGTCAAGGGGTTGCTTGTGCAAGGACTCTTAAAGGAGCACGAAACACTGTCTGCTTCGGATGCCGTAGTCGGTGGCCCACTCGAGGGCCAAGGACCGGGTGGTGGCATCCACTGTAGCCTGAGATGAGGGGTGGGAGGGAGACGGAGAGGGTAGTGTGTTGGCCAGGGTTCCGAACAGCATTCACTGCAGCCTCAACTAGGGCTGGTTCGGATGCCATAGTCTGTGGCGTGGCCCACTCCAGGGCTAAGGAGCGCGTGGTGGCATCTACTGCAGCCTGGGATGAAGGGTGGGGAGGGAGGAGAGGGAAATGTGTTGGTTCAGCATTCACTGCAGCCTCAACTAGGGCTGGTTCGGATGCCGTAGTCTGTGGCCCACTCCAGAGCTAAGGACCGGGTGGTGGCATCCACTGCAGCCTGGTTGGGGATGGGCGCATGGGTTTAGAGGTCAGGGCTTCAATGAACGAACCCAAAGCATTTGTGCCGGTTCGGTTCAGATGCCGTAGTCTGTGGCTTACTCCAGAGCTAAGGACCGGGTGGTGGCATCCACTGCAGCCTGGGGCAATGTGGAGAGTGAATGATGGGGGAAGATCTTCAAATCAATAGTGTTGGTTCGAATGCCGTAGTCTCTGTGGCCCACTCCAGGGCTGGGGACCGGGTGGTTGCATCCACTGCAGCCTGAGATGAGGAGAGGGACGGAGCAGATGGAGTGGGAGAGTGGGAGATGGGTGACATAGGGCTGGTTCGGATGCCGTAGTTTGTAGCCCACTCCAGGGCTAAGGAGCGGGTGGTGGCACTGCAGCCTTGTTGGGGGTAAGGATGGGGGTGGAGGAGTGAAAGTTGGTACGTATGGATTGTGCAAGAAGCCTCGAGGAGCCTGAAATCAAGCTGTAGTCTGTGGCCCACTCCAGGGCTAAGGACCGGGTGGTGGCATTAACTGCAGCCTGTGACGAGGGAAGGAGGGTGAGGATGGGTACGGGATAGGGGGGGTGGAAGACAGGTCGGAGGGAGTCAGAGAGAGGGGGAGGTGGTAGACATGGGTAGTACTTTCCATTCCAGGCGCCTTAAAAGTAGTTTTCAGCACTCGAAGGCTAAGGACCCGGAGGTGGCATGCACTGCAGACTGAATAAAGATGGGGGCTTGCCATGGGGTGGGGTGAGAGGCCAGGGCTTCACTGATCGAACCCCTGGAGTTGTTCGAGCTAGTTTGAATGCCATAGTATGTGGCATGGCCCTGGAGAGATTGGTCCAGGGGTAAGGAGCGCGTAGTGGCATCCACTGGAGCCTGTGACGAGGGAGGGTGGCATCACCACTCTCACCTTTACCCCACTCTCCCCTTATTTCACTCTCCCCTTATTTCACTCTCCCCTTATTTCACTCTCCCCTTATTTCACCCTCACCTTACCCCACTCTCCCCTGACCCCACTCTCCCCTTACCCACTCTCCCCTTACCCACTCTCCCCTTACCCACTCTCCCCTTACCCACTCTCCCCTTACCCCACTCTCACCTTAGCAGCCATGACGTGTACTTGGTACCAAGCAGCAGTGTAGTGCAGAGTAGCGCTGATATTTATAATGGATCCACCATTCTCCTCCTCCTCTCTACCACGCGCCCCCCTTTGCAGGAACGGTCTAGCAGCCAGACACATGTTAAATGTACCCACAGCATCTATGTCAAGGACTGGCTTGGAGGGAGATAAGGGAAGCGAAGAAGAAGAGCAGGATATAGACGGTCAAAAAGGGGGGGATGGGTGGGTGGGTCGCAGAGCGAATTGAGCATAAAGGGTAGCGAAAGGAGGAAAGGGGGCGAAGGGAAGGGAAGAATTGGAGACGAAATGGTTGCAGCCAGCAAGAGAAAGATGTAAGAGAGGGGACGGGCAGGTACGAAAGGGACGGGAGGGGAAGGGAAGGGAAGGGGAGGGAAGCAGAGAACCGGAAACAACATGCACTATGCCTCTCTAAGACTCTCTAGGCCTCATTTTGCCTCTTCATGCTTCTAATCCATCTTTGCACCTCCCTGCCCCTCCTTGCCCCTCTCTGCACCTCTCTGCCCCTCCCTGCCACTCTCTACTCCTCTCTACTCCTCATGCCTGCCTACCTGTTCGAAAGCCGTTCACAGAGAGGTCTTCTGCAGCTGCCAGGAAGTTTCCAGCTGCGCCATTAATAAGAACGTCTAGGCGGCCGTATCTCTCCACTGCAGCAGCCACGACACTGTGTGCGTCCTCCTTTCGCCTCACATCGCCCATGACAGGCAAGGCCTGAAAGGACCAAGAGGAAATAGTCACAGGCAGGTTGGTAGACGAACGAACCGGGAGAATCTACAAGTAAATTTCTGTGACGCCTCAAGAGCAGCAGCCTTGGTTGGCACTCTGTGCATCCTTCTTTCTTTCGCCTCACACCTCCTGTGACCTTAACGCTGCTGCTCATTGGAAAATGTCCCACGGTCCGCCTCACACCTCCCATGACAGGCAAGGCCTGAAGAGTGGGTGTGCAATGAACACTGGGAAGTTAGGCTCGTTATGAGGTACCTCCATTCCTTCTGTAACATCAATATCCTTTTGAAAGAACCCCGTTAATAATACAATGCCCCTTAAGAATAGAAAAGAGATAGCTGGTTTCCTCGATCCCTTCCTTTGCTAGCTCGCCTGCTGCTGCTCGCAATAACGCCTCCGTCCGACCCATGATCATGAGCCTAACCTTGACCCCACCTCATCACTCTGAGACTCAACCCACCCAGATTCCTCCCTTCGCCAGCTCGTCTGCTGCTGCTCGCAACACCGCCTCCCTCCGACCCATGATCGCGAGCCTAGCTTTGTCCCCACCTCATCACTCTGAGACTCAACCCACCCGGATTCCTTCCTTCGCTAGCTTGTCTGCTGCTGCTCGCAACACCGCCTCGCTCCGACCCATGATCGCGAGCCTAGCTATGATACGTCTCAAGACTCAGACACGCTACCCACCTCAATTCCTCCCTTCGCTAGCTCGTCTGCTGCTGCTCGTAGCACCGCCTCCCTCCGGCCTATATCCCGAGCGAGCCTAGCTCTTACACGCTCTTCGACGGGAAGAATAAACCACATAGCCCCTAATTACCTCGATTCTCTCTTTTGCCAGTTCGTCTGCTGCTGCTCGCAGCACCGTCTCTCTCCGGCCCATGATTGCGAGCCTAGCGCCGTGCCTGCCGAACTGCCTCGAGATCTCCAAGCCTATACCCGAGCCACCACCTGAAAGTCACACACACTGGTCGCATTGTCAGCAATACCATTGAAATGAACGGCAGAAACAAGCTCGGAAAATCGCCAGCAAGGAGGATCAGCAGTATCACGGTTGCTCTTGAAAATTCTCAAACGCAAAATCCCCAGCAAGGAAGATCAGCAGTAGCACGATGAACCTCTCAGCTGAGCAGCAAGGAGGAGGATTAACAGAGACGAGTTCGGAAGCGACCGCGGATCAACAGGGAGAAGTGCTGATAGCCGCAGTTGATCAACAGCGGATCAAGCAACAGCTGATAGACGCACAGAGTCGCGTTTGGGGACGGAGTACGAACGGAATTGGGAGGCGAGCGATTGCGATAGGCTAAGGGGGTGAAGCATTCGGTGAATTCGCTGATAGGCGCAGTGAGTCGCGTTTGAGGACGGAGTACGAACGGAATTGAGAGGCGGGCGATTTTAATAGGCTAAGGGAGTGGATTAATTGGCTAGATGATTCCGCTGATGCTGAAGGTGCGGGTGCTGAAGATACGGAGGGTAATCTGAAGGGCTCACCCGTGATCAGAACGATTTTCCCTTGGAGAACATTGGATTTGAACGGACTTTCCTGAGGCTCCATATCGCAGCAGCAGGCGGCCTATTCGATTCTAGACGAGACGCCGCGAACTAGGAAGCACGGAGATTTTCCCTTCTGCTGCAACCAAGGGAAGCTGAACGCTACTTCATGAGAATGAGGCCACACAAGGCAGTGACGGAGTCGAAGCATAAACAATTGTTTATGCTCATATGCTAGAGATAGATCAGGGGTTAATCACGGCTTTAAAGGTTGCAGAATGGTAAAGTACGTTTTAGTGTGGTGCGGAACTCAATACTGCCTAAGGTTGAGGGAGGTCTACGGGATTAGGACGCGTCCCCTACCCGCGATCGACCCTGAGTAGGATCAATAATTCATTGCTACAGTAGAGCTGTAGCGTCGCATCTGATAAAGGTTACCCTTTTCAAGAACTTGCGCGAATGTAACAGTAACATGTGGCTTTAAAGCCGGCAGCCCAAATTGCACAAGTTTTAAAAAGATGACGAGAGGGAGTTTTTGAGGTTTGGGCTTTGGCGAGTGTTTTTTATTTCGTCAAATTCGTTTTTTTTCGTCGAAATCAAAAGGCCCCTCGATTTCTCCCTGGTGGGTGTGTTGGACTTCGGAAGTCCCAAATTGCAGCTGCGGTACCTTTCAGAGCTTGAACAGGGCACTTCATCAAGTTTTAAAAACTTGACCCGCGCGGTCGTGGGCTTTAATCCCGTCACCTCTCAACGATCCCGACCATTGGAACATCGTGCAAATGCCGAGCTTGTGGTTTTCACGCGAGCTCCAGGCTCGCCCGCTCGATGACAGGCAGGATCGATCGCCGTCGTACAGATCACAGGGTAGCATGGTTTCCCGAAAGGTATTTTGCATTTTGTTTATGCTACGAAGCGAAAAAATGTTGCCGAGCTTCGAGATTATCGGCCAATCTCGAAGCAGTGTTGGGTTGAATGATTATCGTGCCCCAAACCTGCGATCGATGTGCCTGATCGGTTTTTCACGGCGATCTCACGGTCGATCGAGGGAGGGTACGCGTCCTTACTGCTTCCAATCCAAATACCTAATCCCTGTGTCTCTTGCTTGACTCCTAACTACGTTTGGCTTTCCTGGTGGCGATTCCTTCTCACACGGCTTCCTTGCAGGAAGACAATTCGTAGCAACGGATCACGGACCCCAATATCGTTCCCTGCATTCCTTCACGAGGATCCTAACGGCATCGCGGCTAGCACTGTATCCTGGCTACGGTCTTTTCTCGCCGTGTTCGTGCTTAACTATCACAGCGCTTCGCATTTTGTTTCTAAGAAATTGGTGCGCGTCGTTAAAAGTAAACGTTACTAGTCAGTTACGTTTCGCTATCATACACCATGGCAGGTCCTTCGGGTAAACGTAAGTACGAGGGCGAAGAGAAGGTCGCTTCTGATGCAGGTGACAACCAGGAACCACCGCAATCGGCAAAAGAATCGAATCCGAATCCGAATCCGGGATTAGATTCGGACGGAAAGCCCGCAGGTTCGAAGCCTAAAGCATCTCCAGCCGAGCCGCAGCCAGCAAAGCAGTCAGAAAAGACATGCGTCCATGACGTGGCGCTTCCTCCGGATTTCACGTCCTCTCTCGACGAATCAGTGCACGGGACGATCTACGCGCCGGTGTACAAGGGTCCGATGGCGAAAACGTACCCGTTTGAGTTGGACCCGTTTCAAGCAACCTCGGTAGCGTGCTTGGAGCGGCGCGAGTCCGTGCTCGTGGCAGCACACACGTCGGCGGGAAAGACGGCCGTTGCGGAATATGCAATTGCGATGGCGTTTCGGGACAAGCAGAGGGTCATTTACACGTCGCCTCTCAAGGTAGGTCGTTTCTAAGGTTGGTTGCCTCCTAAGTAAACGGAAACCGCCGCTGTTTTTTAAAAGCAGAAGGGTGCTTGTGACCCTGTTGCAGTTCTGATGCTTTTGTTTACAGGTTTGAAGGTGCAAAGTTGAGGGGGTTTCTGGTTTGAGGTTTTTCGGGTTGAGGGTTGAGGTTTTCGGGTTGAGGATTGAGGGCCTTACGGTGGTAAACAGCACCGGCGCCGTCTTCCCCTGTCCAATTCCCCTCTTTGTTCTCGCCACCCTTCTCCACCCCAATTCCTGTTTTGAGGCGCCTCAAAACTCGAGTTGAGGTTGAGGGCCTTACGGTGGTAAACAGCACCGGCGCCGTCTTCCCCTGTCTAATTCCCCTCTTTGTTCTCGCCACCCTTCTCCACCCCAATTCCTTCACCACTTTGGAAACCCATTAACCCAGTCGAGCCCCTCTGCCCTCCTCCCCCCCTCCCGCGTGTGATGAGTCGAATTTTGAGTTGACTCAAAAATCGACTCTCCCCACCCTTCTCCACCCCATTTCCTTCTCCACTTTGGAAACCCAGGAACCCAGTCGAGCCCCTCTTCCCTCCTCCCCACCTCCCCACCTACACTTCAGGCTCTGAGCAACCAGAAGTATCGGGAGTTAAGTGAGGGGTTCAGTGACGTGGGGCTGATGACGGGTGATCCTATCAACACTCCTGTCCTTAACCCCCTCCCCATCCCCTCCCCACACTTTCCCACCAGGCTCTGAGCAACCAGAAGTATCGGGAGTTAAGTGAGGAGTTCAGTGACGTCGGGCTGATGACGGGTGATCCTATCAACACTCCTGTCCTTAACCCCACTCCTCCCCCCACTTCCCCAGCCTCTGAGCAACCAGAAGTACTGAGAGCTGAGTGATGAGTTTAGCATCGTGGGGCTGATGACGGGTAAACCCACTGTTGCCCCTGTTTTTAGCACCATCCTCGCCCCCCATAACCCTTCACACTGCAGGCTCTGAGCAACCAGAAGTATAGAGAGCTGAGTGAAGAATTCAGTGACGTCGGTTTGATGACGGGTGACGTCACCATCGCCCCCAACGCTGCCTGCATCGTCATGACCACCGAAATCCTCCGATCCATGCTCTACCGAGGCTCGGAAGTGCTTCGGGAGGTGGCTTGGGTGATCTTTGACGAGATTCACTACATGCGGGATCGGGAGCGGGGCGTGGTTTGGGAGGAGAGTATTATTTTCCTTCCTCCGGATGTGAAAATGGTGTTTTTGTCGGCTACGCTGTCGAATGCAAGGGAGTTTGTCGAGTGGATTACGTATCTGCATAAGCAGCCGTGCCACGTGGTGTACACGGATTACCGGCCGACTCCCTTGCAGCATTTCGCGTTTCCTTACGGCGGGGATGGGCTGTACCTGATGGTGAACGAGCAGGGGAAGTTTATCGAAAAGAATTTCAATCGCTTAGCTAAGAGTTTCGCTAAAGCGAAAGAGGCGGCGGCGGAGGCGATTCCAGAAGCTGCTGGGTTTGCAGGGAGAGGGAGAGGGAGGGGGGGGAGGGGAGGGAGAGGAGGAAGAGGAGGGAGAGGAGGGGAAGGAGGGAGAGGTGCAGGCGGAGGGCCTTCGGATATCTACAAGATCGTGAAGGTGAATATTTCTCGTTACCTAAGTCTCCATTCCCCTTTTTTCTATGCCTCTCATTAACCGCTCCTTTTTAGATTATCTTCCACTTCCCCAATCACCCTCTCCTCACCTATCCCTCTCTCACGTTACCCTCTTTTTTCCGCACATTTCTGCTCACATTTCCACCCCATGATCGTCTTCAGCTTCCGTCGGCGCGAGTGTGAGGCGTACGCCATGCAGCTGAGCAAGCTGGCTTTGACATCCCTGAATCCTCAAACCCCTCAACCTTGCTTCAAGACCCCTGAATCCTCTTCCCTTTTCCTCCCTCGTTTTCTCAACAGACCTGCTCCGAGCTGGATTTCCACCCCATGATCGTCTTCAGCTTCCGTCGGCGCGAGTGTGAGGCGTACGCCATGCAGCTGAGCAAGCTGCCCCTGTTCTCCGTCTCTCTTTCTCCTTACCCTCTGCCCCTGTTTTCAACAGACCTGCTCCGAGCTGGACTTCCATCCAATGATTGTCTTCAGCTTCCGACGTCGCGAGTGTGAGGCGTACGCCATGCAGCTGAGCAAGCTGGACTTCAACAGCGAGGAGGAGAGCAAGATGGTCAAGGAGGTGGGGAGTGGTGCATGGCGGTGTAAGGAGATGAGGACGGGTGGTGAGTGACTGGGATGGGGGTGTGACTTGAGTTTAGTGTGAGGCGTACGCCATGCAGCTGAGCAAGCTGGACTTCAACAGCGAGGAGGAGAGCAAGATGGTGAAAGAGGTGAGGAGCGGTGCAAGGAGGCGAGGAGCGGTGCAAAGAGGTGATGAGGGGTGATGGCAGGCTCTTCTAGGTACGACTGGGTAGTGGTAGGTAGGGCAGCCCAGGACCTTCGAGATTCTCCCTTCCCTGTATTGGGGACATTGCCATTCCTGCAACCCCACACTTTCTCCAACCCGCCCCTTCCCTTCCCGTCCCGTTACTCAGGTGTTTAACAACGCCATTTCGGTCCTCCCCACCGAAGACCAGGACCTGCCAGCAGTGCGGCAGATGCTGCTATTGCTGCAGAGGGCCCTTCGTCACATGCCTTGCCTGTTCCTGCTCCCCCAAACCTCTTCCAGGTGTTCAACAATGCCATATCTGTTCTCCCCACTGAAGACCAGGACCTGCCAGCAGTGCGCCAGATGCTGCCGTTGCTCCAGAGGGGAGTGGGAGTGCACCACTCGGGGCTGCTGCCCATCCTAAAGGAGCTCATCGAGATTCTCTTTCAGGAGGGGCTTCTCAAAGTGCTCTTCGCTACTGAGACTGTGAGTCAGACAATGGGTTGCTGGTGTGTTGGTGCAGCTGGTAGCGCATGGGTGGGGACAGAGAGGAGCGTGGGGAGTGGGAGTGCACCACTCGGGGCTGCCGCCCATCCTTAAAGAGCTCATCGAGATCCTCTTTCAGGAAGGGCTTCTCAAAGTGCTCTTCGCTACTGAAACTGTGAGTTGCGTGTTCAGCTGCTGCTGGTTGTTTTGCTGGTGTTGCTTCTAAGGTTGCACCACTCGCATCCCCCTCCTCTCTTCATCCCATCCTCAAGAAGCCCATCGCATAACCCTCTCATCAAAACCCTCTCAGAATCATCTCATAACCCTCGCAAAATCCTAGTATAACCGTCCCTCGCATCCCCTAGTATAACCGCGTCTCATAACTCTCGCATCACCCTCACATAACCCTCACATAGCCTCGTTTATCCACTACACAGCGCAACTCCTCTCCACGCCCCTTTCTTATACCAACCCTTCTCCCGCAATGCGACTGAACATGCCGGCACGCACCGTGGTCTTCACAGCCACGCACAAGTGGGATGGCGAGGTTAACTGAGCCACCCATCACAACCCAACCTAACCCCCGCTTCCCTTCTTATCCATCTATCTCCACCCCTCTGAACCGCTCTGCAGTTCGCCATGGGTCTCAACATGCCGGCACGCACTGTGGTCTTCACAGCCACGCACAAGTGGGATGGCGAGGCCAACAGAGCCATGCACTCAGGGGAGTATATCCAGGTGAGTGTGTGATGGTGTGGGGGAGATTGATGAATGCATGTATCATGTATGTGTGTGACTGCTCCTTCCCAGCTTGTCAACTCGACATGTACAGCAAGGGTGCCTTTTCTTGACACAGCCACGCACAAGTGGGATGGCGAGGCCAACCGAGCCATACATTCGGGGGAATACATCCAGGTGGGTGGTGGTTGTGTGTGTGGGTGACCCCGCTCCTCATCGCATCATCGTTCACTCAATCTCCACTGTGCTCCTCTCAGCCACACACAAGTGGGATGGCGAGGCCAACCGAGCCTTCAACTCGGGGGAGTACATTCAGGTGGGTGGGTGGGTGGCTGGCTGGCTGGCTGTGCTGTGCATATGGGTGCCCCCCCCTCAATCCCTCGTGTCAACCGTGCGAGCGTGCTTTCTCTCTCTTAAGCAGTCCTGCATTGATGTGTGAGTAAGGTACAAACCAGGCAGCAGCAGCTCCTAGCACGCGCATAGACCTAGGCATGCAAGTGTATAGGTCTCGTGTCAGCACACCTGATCACATGATAGCCAGACTTGCTAAGCTGAGTTGCCGAAGCAGTCGTGCAGATATCTACTAACACATCCATGCAGGCCTGCTCTACCCACTTGCCCATCCACACCCTTCAAACCCTGTCTCTGCCCCACCAGGGAAGGCCTCCTGAACTTGGGCAGTCCCCTATGGGTTGGCCTGGCCCTCTACTCTCCCGCTTCCCCAATTCACCCCACCCTACGTCAGATGAGTGGGCGGGCAGGGCGGCGAGGCAAGGACAGCAAAGGGATTGTCATTGTGATGGTCAATGAGGAGGTCAGGAGGGGTGATAAGGAGTGCGGCGGGGTGGGAAGGGGTGGTGGGGGAGTGTTGGGAGGTGAGAAGGGGTCATGGGAGGTGGAGAACGGTGCTGTGCGTTGTCACCATGCACATGATATCTCACTGCATGCATGAAGGAGCGATGCAGTCTGTTTTGTGCTACGCGCTGCTCAACTCAGCCTCATGAGCTCCACATGAGCACAATCTCCCCATTCCCGTCCATGCGGAATCTTCTGAACGATCCCTTCTTTGCCATCATATGTGGCTTGCTTGACTCCCTTCCCACGCAGATGACCATGGAAGCGTGCAAGGAGATGATGCTGGGGAAGCCCGCTCCCTTGGAAAGCTCCTTCCGCCTGACCTACTACGCGCTGCTGAACCTCATGGCTCGAGCCGAGGGGCAGTTCAACGCAGAGCACGTGATTGCACACTCCTTCCACCAGTTCCAGCATGACAGGGTACGTTCGGGTGTTGGTGTGTGTGTTGTGTGGGTTGGTGAGTTGACGCCTGACCTACTACGCGCTGCTGAACCTCATGGCTCGAGCCGAGGGGCAGTTCAACGCAGAGCACGTGATTGCACACTCCTTCCACCAGTTCCAGCATGACAGGGTACGTTCGGGTGTTGGTGTGTGTGTTGTGTGGGTTGGTGAGTTGACGCCTGACCTACTACGCGCTGCTGAACCTCATGGCTCGAGCCGAGGGGCAGTTCAACGCAGAGCACGTGATTGCACACTCCTTCCACCAGTTCCAGCATGACAGGGTACGTTCGGGTGTTGGTGTGTGTGTTGTGTGGGTTGGTGAGTTGACGCCTGACCTACTATGCGCTGTTGAGCCTGATGGCTCGAGCCGAGGGGCAGTTCAACGCAGAGCATGTGATTGCACACTCCTTCCACCAGTTTCAACACGACAGGGTACGTGCGTGTAGGTGTGTGTGTGTGTGTGTGCGTGCATGAGTGATGTGACTTCTGACCCACGATACGTGAGCTCCTTCCGCCTGACCTACTACGCGCTGCTCAATCTGATGGCTCGAGCCGAGGGGCAGGTGAATGGAGTGCACGTGATGCACACTCGTTTCACCAGTTCCCGCACGACAGGGTACATAGTAGCATAGTAACTGTAGCAGATTGGTTGTCACTTCTTCGCCTCATGTCCTCCCATCTCATGTTCTTTCTTTAATCCCCCCCAACAAGTAACTGGGGTGGAGAAGGGGATTAGTCCACTATAGGCAGAGGAATATGCTTTCTGAGGCACCTTAAAAACATACCCGCCCTTTCTCTTCGTCCGATCATCCCACTCTCCTCCCCCCTACCAGCAAGTGCCAGAGGTCGAGAAGAGGGTCAAGCAGCTACAGGCAGAGGCAGATGCATTCTTCTCGTTTTTCTTGCCATCACCCCCCTCTCCTTCTCCCCTGCAGCAAGTACCAGAGGTGGAGAAGAGGGTCAAGGAGGTACAGGCAGAGGCAGTCGCGCTTGCAGCTGCCAAATGTGTGCCTCTCTGTTATTTGCCTCTTCTCTTCCTTTTATCTCCCTCTTTCACTACCAGCAAGTACCGGAGGTGGAGAAGAGGATTAAGGAGCTACAAGCAGAGGCAGACGCACTGGAGGCAGGGACTGAGGTAAGACCTTGAGTGAGGGAGAGGGAGGCGGATTAAGGGAACGGGTGAGAAGTTGAGGGAAGGAAGGGATATGAGCGATGGCTGCAATGCAGAGGAGGGAGTGTGGGAGTAGGGGAGATTATTGAGCAGCTACAGGCAGAGGCAGATTCGCTGGAAGCAGGGACTGAGGTGAGATTTGAGGGAATGGGAGAGGACGAGGAATCTTGAGATGACTCAAAAGGGATTGGGTGAGGATGAGGTTGTGAGGATAGGGGAGTGAGGCAGAGAGGAGTGGGGGAGGGAAGCTTGAGGGAGGAAAGGGCAGTCGGGAAAAGTCTAACAGGTTTGTGGAATAGCAGTGACATCCATAAGCACCACACCACGCAAGCGAGCGTAAACCCTAAACCTGTCAGTTTACGGTAAACTGTTTACCCGCGCACCAGGGAGCTCCGCTTTTCCACAGGAGTGCCTATCCACCCACACACTGGCTCTAACACCTCGTCTCCCTTCGTGTTTCCCTTTCGACTTTCGAGTCGACTCAAAGCCATCTCACTTTCCAGCCTACCCACACATTGGCTCTAACTATGTTGGCAGATTCGCCTTGGGAAGGGGGCCGTACCATGTATATACGCTTGCGTATGTACGCTGTACGCCAATACGCTTGAGATTTGCGCTGGCCTTACGCACCCTATTGTGAAACACCTTCTCATTCAGTACCACACCCAAGGGAAATCCAAAGTTGTGCAAACTTTGTGAGAGGCAGTTCGAGGGCGGCTCCAATCGGTGCACAATTCACCTTTTGAGGCGCCTCAAAATGCATTTCACCTCGCCACATGGAAAGGGCAGGGAAGAAGGAGAAAGACGGCCAAGATATGCAAGAAGGTGCCCACGGCCATCCGCGATGCCGTCCGTGCCATGTACGAGGAGAAGGCGGAAGAGCAGGAGGTGAAACGGCAATCGCTGCAGCACTTGACTCCGCACTTGACGCGGTCACCGGTAATTCGGAGAAGAGCGGGAAGGTTATTGATTTTTTCGGCGATCAGGCGACGTGCACCAAGGAGGACGCGGATAACGCAATCTGCCTCTCGTTCTCGACGCCTTTCGGAGTGCATCGCTGATGATCCAATCTTCCGCCACCCGGTGGCGTGCATTGCGCGCGCTGGATCAACATACGTCCCCCCCAAGAGAAGCTACATTGGCGGGGCAGGCTTGATGAAGTGTCGGCAGAATATGCAGCCCGCGCTCGCACCCGTTGCCGCAAGCTGGAAGCGGGACGGTGTAACCGTGTCGTCGGACATGATGACCGACCGATGTGGCCCGCCCGCAGGCCAACATTCTCCTTGTCTACGACTGTCGCAGATTTCGAGCAGTTGGTGGACAACCACATGAAGTCGAAGACGGGGGGGGGGGATATCGTTAGCATTCTCCGCCTCGTCATAGATAAGGTGGGGCCGGAGAATATGGTGGCGGTTTGCACTGATGGCGGTAGCACCTATGCAGTGGCAGCCAAGAAGATCGCGACAACATGGCCGCACATTGAGTATGTGCCATGTGTCACGCATGTTGTGAACCTGATGATGGAAGATGTGGGAAAAATGGCATGGGCGAAGGTGGTCGTGAAGGAGGCAGGGGAAATGATTAACTTTGTGCGCTACCACTTTGGGTGGTATTTGTTACTGTTACTTGCTGGCACCTTTGACCCAAAATAGGGCAAGGCATCAAACACTTTGGATTATTGCTGCACTTTTTTATGTGGGATCCGACTTTTTATTTAATGAAGGGATTACGGCTCTGAACTTTCGTCGTCTCGCAACTTCATGTTCGGCGTCAATAGATTTGGTGTGAGTGTCAAAATCATCCTGCTTTCCATCCTACCCACACACTGACTCTAACATCACCTCGTCCCCCTGCGTATCCCCCTTTCCATTCCCTCTGACAGGATGAGATTCGCGAGTACCATGCATTGCGCCTGTCACTAGCTGAGAAGGAGAGGCGGCTGAAAGCAGAGGTGCTGCGGCCTGATCGATGCCTGCACTTCCTTCAGCCCGGTAGACTGGTGAGGATTGGGGGGTCCTTGGGCTAACTGTCAGGGCAATGAGCAGGTGGGTGGGGGCTTGATGAATGGAAGGAGAGGCGGCTGAAAGCGGAGGTGCTGCGGCCTGACATGACAGATGCCTGCACTTCCTGCAACCGGGGCGACTGGTGAGCATGTGGTGGATGGTTGGAGGGAGGTAGTGGGTCTGAGGGTGCATCCTGAGTGGTGGAGTGGCGGCTGAAAGCGGAGGTGCTGCGGCCTGATCGATGCCTGCACTTCCTGCAGCTCGGCCGACTGGTGAGCATGGGGCAGGCAGGCTGGTGTGAGTGTTTGGTGAATGGAGTTTGTGGGTTACTTGTGAGTGCTGGATTGAAGGAGAGGTGGCTCAAGGCGGAGGTGCTGCGTCCTGACAGATGCCTGCACTTCCTACAGCCCGGCCGACTGGTGAGTCGATTCATAGCTGAACTTTAGCATCACCCTCCACTAGCCCCTCCATGCCTTTGATGGACGAGAGTATCCAGTCCGCCCCTCCACTCGCCCCTCCTTTCGCCCTTCCACTCGCCCCTTTCCCTCTTGTCCATCCTATCTTGCCCTGCCCAGTGTCCCGCATTTTGGCCTATCGACTCGCTCATTCAAATTCCTTACCGTCACCTGTATTCGTGTAGATCCGCGTAACAGACGGCCAATTTGTGCATTTTCTGACCATGTTTTATCCATTCTCTTGCAAATTCGGGTGGTGGATGGGTTGGACGATTGGGGATGGGGAGTGATCCTCATGTGTCCTCTTGTCCTTTTCCTTCCCACCCGTTCTTCCTCCTGCAGATCCGAGTGGTGGATGGGTTAGACGATTGGCGGTGGGGGGTAATAGTCAACGTGATGAAGCAGCCCTCTCAAAACAACACCAAATCAGCCGTCATCACCACTTCGTTCCTCTCCGCATTCCCCTATCCTGTTGTTTCTTGCAGATACGAGTGGTAGATGGTCTAGACGACTGGGGGTGGGGAGTGATCGTCAACTTGATGAAGCGCCCTCTCAAAGAAACTCCAAATCAGCCGTCATCGCCCCCTCCTTGCGCCCCCTCATTCCACTAACTCCTCACCCCTTTATACATTCTCCTTCCCTGTCTTTTCTCTCAGATCCGGGTGGTGGATGGGCTAGACGACTGGGGATGGGGAGTGATCGTGAACGTGATGAAGCAGCCCTCTCAAAACAACTCCAAATCAGCCGTCATCACCACTTCGTTCCTCTCCGCATTCCCCTATCCTGTTGTTTCTTGCAAATCCGAGTGGTAGATGGGCTAGACGACTGGGGATGGGGAGTGATTGTGAACGTGATGAAGCAGCCCTCTCAAAACAACACTTCCTCTTCCCCTTTACCCACTCGATGCCCTTGGCTCTCCTGCAGATCCGAGTGGTGGATGGATTAGACGATTGGGGATGGGGGGTGATAGTCAACGTGATGAAGGAGCCCTCTCAAAGCAACTCCAAATCTGCCGTCATCGCCCCCTCACCCACCGCCTCACTCCACCAACTCCTCACCCATTCATTCATTTTCCTTGCAGATCCGGGTGGTGGATGGCCTGGACGACTGGGAGTGGGGAGTGATAGTGAACGTCATGAAACAGCCATCTCAACGCAACCCTCCTCTCCCCTTTACCCACTCCACGCCCTTGACTGTCCTGCAGATCCGGGTGGGGGGTGTTTGTGAACGTGACAAAGCAGCCCTCTCAGAGCAACTCCAATCACCCGTTGTGTCCCTCGTTGTTCCTTCAGGAACGAGCAACACCAATCAGTTGTCATCACCCCCTTGTGTCCCTCGCTCCTCTCCTCTTCTGCCTCTACATTCCTTCAGATCCGGGTGGTGGATGGGCTGGACGACTGGGGGTGGGGGGTGATCGTCAACGTGATGAAGCAGCCCTCTCAGAACAACTCCAAATCAGCCGTCATCGCCCCCTCGTTCCTCTCCGCATTCCCCTATCCTGTTGTTTCTTGCAGATACGAGTGGTAGATGGATTAGACGATTGGGGATGGGGAGTGATCGTGAACGTGATGAAGCAGCCTTCTCAGAACAACTCCAAATCAGCCGTCATCGCCCCCTCGCCCACCGCCTCTGCGGCCGCCGCTGCACCGCTCTCCACCACTGCGTACCTGGTGGACACGCTGCTGCTGTGCTCTCCTGTGGTGGACAGTGGAGGAGGAGAGGGGTCCACTGCCCAACTTGTGCCACGCCCATGCGCGCTAGATGGGAACGGGGAAATGCACGTGGTGAGTGAGTGCGTGAGTGGCATGCGTGGGGCTTGTGCGTGGTGAGAGGGTGCCTCTACTTCTGCTCAGCTTGTACCACGCCTGTGCGCCCTAGACGGGAACGGGGAAATGCACGTGGTGAGTCGCTCTCTTCCTTCTTTTCCTCTGCTGCTGCCGCTGCACCGCTCTCCACCACGCTGCTGCTGTGCTCTCCTGTGGTGGACAGTGGAGGAGGGGAGGGCTCCACTGCTCAGCTTGTGCCACGCCCGTGCGCCCTAGATGGGAACGGGGAAATGCACGTGGTGAGTGAGTGGCTTGTGCGTGGTGTGGTGTGGTATGGTGTGGTATGCTGTGTGTGGTATGGTGTGGTATTCTGTGGTGTGGTGTGGTGTGGTGTGGTGTGGTGTGGTGTGGTGTGGTGTGGTGTGGTGTGGTGTGGTGTGGTGTGGTGTGGTGTGGTGTGGTGTGGAATGCCCTCTTTCCCTATCTCCCCCCTCCTGTTTCGTTCTCCTCGCCCGTGCGCTCCAAGGGTCCTCCCACCCACGGATCTTCGCCCCAAGGACACCGGGCGTCTATCAGCTCTTTTGAGTCGACTCACGAGTCAACTCAAAAGGACTCCGGGCGTCTATCAGCTCCTCTTTCCCTTCGCCCTAAGGAGGCCCGCCAGGCCGTGCTGGTGAGGTGATGTGACACTCAGGGGTGATGTGGCCTGCCTCCTCTCTTCTCCCTCCTCTCTCCCTGTCTCCCCCCCCCCCAGATCCCAGTGAAGTTACCAGCAGTCGCCAGAATAGGGGCGCTCAGAATCGCCCTGCCCACGGATCTTCGGCCCAAGGAGGCCCGGCAAGCCGTGCTGGTGACACTGAGGGCCATGCCTCAGCTATTCTCCCTCCTCCCTGCTCACCTTTTCCCATGCCTTCTTTCCCATTCGCCTCAGATCCCAGTCAAGCTGCCAGCAGTGGCGCGCATAGGAGCGCTCAAAGTTGCCCTGCCCACGGATCTTCGCCCCAAGGAGGCCCGCCAGACGTGTGAAACCTCTTCCCTTCTCGCCCTCCCTGTCCTCCCCTGTCCCTTTTCCTCAGATCCCCGTGAAGTTACCTGCAGTGGCGCGCATAGGGGCGCTCCGAATCGCCCTGCCCACGGACCTTCGCCCCAAAGAGGCCTGGCATGTATAGGCTCTTCTCTTCCCGCCCTCCATGTCCTTCCCTGTCCCTTTCCTCAGATCCCAGTGAAGCTGCCAGCTGTGGCGCGCATAGGGGCACTCAGAATCGCCCTGCCCACGGACCTTCGCCCCAAGGAGGCCCGGCAAGCGGTGCTGGTCACACTGAGGGACGTCACCCAGCGATTTCCTGGCGGGCTGCCTATTCTCGACCCTGTGGAGGTGAGTGAAGTGTGCGAGGGCAGGGAAGGCGGAAGGCAGTGAGGTGGTGGGCTATTTGAGGCCTCTTTGCCACAAGAATTGCCCTGCCCACGGACCTGCGCCCCAAGGAGGCCCGCCAGGCCGTGCTGGTCACTCTGAGGGACGTCACCCAGCGATTCCCTGACGGGCTGCCCATCCTAGATCCTGTTGAGGTTAGTGGGGAAGGGAGTGGGTGATTAATAGAGTTAGTGGCTGGGTGGGCTGTTTGAGGCATCTGTGCCCCAAGGAGGCCCGCCAGGCCGTGCTGGTGACGCTGAAGGACGTCACCCAGCGATTCCCTGACGGGCTGCCTATTCTCGATCCAGTGGAGGTGAGGGAGTTAGGGAGTGAGGGAGTGGGTAAGTGAGTGGATGCGTTGTCTGTTTGAGGCATCTCAGATCAACCAAGGGCCGCCAGGCTGTGCTGGTCACTCTGAGGGACGTCACCCAGCGGTTCCCTGACAGGCTGCCTATTCTAGACCCTGTGGAGGTGAGTGGGTGAGAGAGGGATGTGAGAGAGTAAGCTGTTTGAGACATTCACATCTTTCAGAGGTCAGACAGGCCAGGCAGGCCGTGCTGGTCACTCTGAGGGACGTCACCCAGCGGTTCCCTGACGGGCTGCCCATCCTAGACCCTGTGGAAGAGAGCAAGCTGGCCAAGCATCCCCTTTGAGTCCTCTCCTCTCTACTGCCCTTTCTCTGTCTCCCGTGACCGCTTTGTCCATCTTCTCTCCCTCCTTCTCAGGACATGGGCATCACAGACGAGTCGTTTCTGGACCTGGTGCACTCCATCGACCAGGAGGAGAGCAAGCTGGCCAAGCATCCCCTTTTTAAGGTGCTTCACTAGCAGATCAGGTTACACTATCAGGTTAGGCCGTTACGCTTGGAGTCAGCCAAGTGTATCACGTTGCCCAGGTCATTAAAATGTGAATTGCAATTACACTAAGAGGTTCCGTGAATTGCATTGCAGAGTGCACAAGCTGAAGAGGTTGGCATTCCCCCCTCCCACCCCTTTTCACCCCCTCCCACCTCCTCCCATCCCCCCGCCCCTATTCTCTCTCTTCCACTCCTCGTCCATTCTCCCCTTCCAGGCGCGGAGCAGAAGCTGGAGGTGCTCAAGAGGCGAGGGCAGCTGCTGGCAGAAGCACAGCGGCTCAAGATGAAGACGAGGGAGTCACAGGTGCGTGCAGAGGAGTGATGAGCGGTGAGAAGGGGTGTGATGCGGTTCCGTGGTGTGCTGCTCCACCCAGCTGCTGGAGGTGCTCAAGAGGCGAGGGCAGCTGCTGGCAGAAACACAGCGGCTCAAGATGAAGACGAGGGAGCCACAGGTGCGTGTGGAGGAGTTATGAGCGGTGGAGGGGTTTGTGATGCTGTTCCCTGGTGTGCTGCTCCACCCAGCTGCTGGAGGTTCTCAAGAGGCGAGGGCAGCTGCTGGCAGAGGCACAGAGGTTGAAGATGAAGACAAGGGAGTCACAGGTGCCCTTGGGGGAGTGATGTGCGGTGAGGAGGGGTGTGGTTTGATGTCCTAGCTGCTTCAAGCAGCAGCTGCTGGCAGAGGCACAGAGGTTGAAGATGAAGACAAGGGAGTCCCAGGTGCGTGCGGAGGAGTGATGAGCGGTGAGAAGGGGTGTGGTGTGGCGCCTTTTTATTTTCTCCGACAAGCAGCTGTTGGCAAAGGCGCAGCGGCTCAAGATGAAGACAAGGGAGTCCCAGGTGCGTGTGGAGGAGTGATGAGTGGTGAGAAGGGGTGTGGTGTGGCGCCTTTTTATTTTCTCCAACAAGCAGCTGCTGGCAGAGGCGCAGAGGTTGAAAATGAAGACAAGGGAGTCACAGGTATGTTTGGAGGAGTGATGAGCGGTGCGGTGGGAACGTCTGTGATGCGGTGAGGACGTCTGTGATGCGGTTTGGAGTTGATAGAAAAATTGATAAGGTAATAGATAGGGAGGGGAGTGCTTGTGAATGATTCTCTTCACCTTGTCCCGCCCTTTTTTCCTCCCTCTCTTTCTTTCCTCCTCCCCAGCTCTCTCTGTTCAAATCCGAGCTCAGGAATCGCTCAAGGGTCCTGAAACGTCTCGGCCACATCGATGCAGACGGGGTGGTGCAGCTGAAGGGCCGGGCGGCGTGCGTCAGTTCCTCATACGTGCTCAATCCCCCTCAGCCATGTGGACTGGATGAGCTGAAGCTCAAGGGCCGGGCGGCGTGCGTCAGTTCCTCATACGTGCTCAATCCCCCTCAGCCATGTGGACTGGATGAGCTGAAGCTCAAGGGCCGGGCAGCGTGCGTCAGTTCCTCATACGTGCTCAATCCCCCTCAGCCATGTGGACTGGATGAGCTGAAGCTCAAGGGCCGGGCAGCGTGCGTCAGTTCCTCATACGTGCTCAATCCCCCTCAGCCATGTGGACTGGATGAGCTGAAGCTCAAGGGCCGGGCAGCGTGCGTCAGTTCCTCATACGTGCTCAATCCCCCTCAGCCATGTGGACTGGATGAGCTGAAGCTCAAGGACCGGGCAGCGTGCGTCAGTTGCTCATACGTGCTCAATCCCCCCCTATTGCCTCTCCCTCTCCTGCCTCTCCCTCTCCTCTATCCCCCTCAGCCATGTGGACTGGATGAGCTGCAGCTGAAGGGCCGTGTGGCGTGCGTCGTCACGACAGGCGATGAGCTGCTGGTGACGGAGCTGATGCTGGAGGGGGGGGGTGCAGCTGAAGGGGGAGGCGGTGCGTGTCGGGCCTCATAGGTGCTCATCCCCCTCTCCTGCCTCTCCCCCTCCTCTTCTCCCTCTCCTGACCCTTCCTCCCTCCAGCTCTCTCTCTTCAAATCCGAGCTCAGGAATCGCTCGCGGGTCCTGAAACGGCTGGGCCACATCGATGCAGACGGGGTGGTGCAGCTGAAGGGCCGAGCGGTGTGCGTCGTCACGACAGGCGATGAGCTGCTGGTGACGGAGCTGATGCTGGAGGGGGCTTTTAATTCAATGGACCCGCACCAATTGGTTGCCGTGGCTAGTTGTTTTCTGCCTTCCGAAAAGTCGAATGAGGAGCAGGTGAGTTTCTGCTTCATGAACAGGTCAGTGCTTTTCAGGCCCTCAGGAGCAGGGAATTGGGGCGATTTTCTGGGTTGTGTGTGGTGGCTGTGGCATGTTACGAGGTCATGAGGGCACGACAGGCAATGAGCTGCTGGTGACGGAGCTGATGCTGGAGGGGGCTTTTAATTCAATGGACCCACATCAGCTCGTGGCCGTGGCCAGCTGTTTCCTGCCCTCTGAGAAGTCAAATGAAGAGCAGGTGAGAGATCTTGCATTCTTCAGTTCAACCCACCTCTGCTGGCCTCCACGCGCCTTCCGCTGCTGCTGGTGACAGAGCTGATGCTGGAGGGAGCTTTTAATTCAGTGGATCCCCACCAACTTGTGGCCGTCGCCAGCTGTTTCCTGCCCTTGAAGGAGTCGAATGAAGAGCAGGTAAGCTCCACCTCCGCCTTGTCCAACTCTGACTTGGCGATGAGCTGCTGGTGACGGAGCTGATGCTGGAAGGGGCGTTCAACTCCATGGACCCGCACCAGCTGGTTGCTGTTGCCAGCTGTTTCCTGCCTTCGGAGAAGTCAAATGAGGAGCAGGTGAGGGAGTGAGGTTCTTCCTCGGGCCGTGAGTAACAAGTGTTTTCCCGTGTTTTCAGCCCCTGAAAAGCTGGGAAGTGAGCCCTTTTTTGTTTTGAGTTTGCGGCAAGGGGAGGTGATGAGCTGCTGGCGGAGCTGATGCTGGAAGGAGCTTTCAACTCCATGGTCCCCCACCAGCTGGTGGCTGTGGCCAGCTGCTTCCTTCCCTCTGAGAAGTCCAACGAGGAGCAAGTGAGTCTTTCTCAGCCTGTGAGCAGCAGGTGCGTGAGCCCTTTTCCAGGTCTGGTTAGGAGGCAATGGGAGGTGATGAGCTGCTGGTGACGGAGCTGATGCTGGAAGGAGCTTTCAACTCCATGGACCCGCACCAACTTGTGGCCGTCGCCAGCTGTTTCCTGCCTTCAGAGAAATCCAACGAGGAGCAGGTGAGTTTTGTATACATTTCTGACAGGCGATGAGCTGCTGGTGACGGAGCTGATGCTGGAGGGAGCTTTTAATTCAATGGATCCCCACCAACTTGTGGCCGTCGCCAGCTGTTTCCTGCCTTCAGTTCAGAGAAGTCCAACGAGGAGCAGGTGAGGGAGTGAGGTTCTTCAGGTGCTTGGTCTCAAGGGTGGACAGCACACAGGTGGGTGCTGTTGTTGCTGGTGACGGAACTGATGCTGGAGGGGGCGTTTCATTCAATGGACCCCCACCAGCTCGTAGCTGTGGCTAGTTGTTTTCTTCCTTCAGAGAAATCCAATGAGGAGCAGGTGAGGGTGTGAGGTGGTTGTTCAAGCCGTGGGATACAAAAGAGTTCTTTCCAGCTCGTGAGGAGAAGGTGAGTGTGTCTTTCCTTCCGGATCGTTTCTCCTTCTTAGGCTTGGAGACCACGACAGGCAATGAGCTGCTGCTGCTGGAGGGGCAGTTCAAAACCATGGGCGCTCTATGGAAAACAGAGTAGAGCACACAGCACGGGTGAAGTTAGAGTGCGGTTGAGTGCGGTACTAAGGTGAAAATGGAAGCAGTGCACCATATTGCAAGTCAAAGAGTAGAGAAAACAGAGGTGAATGAGTAGGATACGGGTCTTTAACCGCAACTCTCCTCCCTATTCTTTCCCAATCCCCCTGCTCCCCCCCTCCCTTCCTCCCCCCCTCCCTTCCTCCCTCCCTCCCCCCTTCCCTCCCTCCCTGCAGCCTGTGGCAGCGGACCTAAAGCCACATTACAATGTTCTAAGAGAAGCTGCGCAGCACATAGCGCGAGTGCAAATAGAGGAGAAAATAGAGGTGGATGAGGAGGAGTACGTGGATCAATTCCGGCCGACGCTCATGAACGTGTTCTACCAGTGGTCCAAGGTGAGGAAGAGTTATGAGGGATTCAGTGCGGTAGGTGACGAAGAGAGGTGAAGTGCGATACCAAGATGTTTCAGTGCAAATAGAGGAGAAGATAGAGGTGGACGAGGAGGAGTATGTGGATCAATTCCGGCCGACGCTCATGAATGTGTTCTACCAGTGGTCCAAGGTGAGGGATTGAGTGCGGTACAGAGGTGAAGAGAGAAGTGGACTGCGGTACCGAAGTGATTTAGTGCAAATAGAGGAGAAAATAGAGGTGGACGAGGAGGAGTATGTGGATCAATTCCGGCCGACGCTCATGAACGTGTTCTACCAGTGGTCCAAGGTGAGGGGTTCAGTTTGGTACGGAGGTAAAAAGGAAGATTTTGGTCCTTCAATGATCCTTCAATGGTCCAAGATGAGCGAGAGGAGAACAGAAGAGACGAAAACATTGGAGTGTAGCCCTTTCACTTTTTATGCTTGTTTGTGTTGAGGTAAAGTTGGGATTTTTGCAGTCCAGTAGTCTGCCACATTAATTTTCGCTGCATGGGATTTCTGTGTTGGTGATTGCAGGGAGAGTTGTTTGGCAAGGTTATTGACAGCACGGATGCTTTCGAAGGGACGATCGTGCGTGTGGCTCGACGGCTCGATGAGCTTCTAAACGAGGTGTGTTGTTACCGTAGTTACGTAACCATCAGTACCGGTTCAGTCTGAAGTCGTGCCTGATTGATCCTGTTACCTGGTGGAATTTAATGTCATTTTTTTTTTCTGGTACGTGCAGATGAAGCTGGCGGCTCAAGCTATTGGAGAGCTCTTGTAGATAAGTTTACCAAGGCCAGTGAGAGCATCCGCAGAGGCATTATGTTTGCCAATTCGTTGTATGTTGAGTGACATTGTTTGTTGTGGTTTCCACACAATGTAATACATGTGTTAGTGTACCGTAATAATATGGTTCGTGTAGGGTAAGAATAGACATGCTGTGTTCGTGTTGTTTTACAGCTGTTTGAAATCTCTAACAAAATGCGCTTGTAGTGTACGTGCTGTTTGGGCCTAAAAGCGGGAACCACCTGATTACGATCAATATACAACCTTCAACCTAGAAGCGGGAACCAATCCGCTTAGGGCGTGGAACATTTAGTCGACCACGCCGATTATCGACCATTTGGTTGCATCTGGCGAAAGCGAAGGGTGTAACAGAGCTGCGAAGGGTGCGAAATTTCTAAGCTATTCTGCTCGCCAGCACGTGGGGCACCCAACAGAAACCACCCCCACTAAGCAGAAACGTTTGTTCCCACTTCAAGCATTCGAAAGGGGTGCGGGATATTGGGGAGAGCGGGAAATGAGTAGGACGTTAGGCAAAGACAACTAAGGGTAAATACTGGAAGTCAAACTATGTACCCTTTTTTAATGGATTAGTGTGAGGAGAGGATCTAAATACTTACGAGAAATCCCAATGATTTTCGGTCAATTCAGGGTGACTACCATGCATGCCAGTCAATGGGGTTTCCTTAAATTTTCGCAATCGCCAGGAACAACCATCCTTTTGACCATTGGGCGTGGTCGTTAAAATGTTCCACGCCCTTACATATACGCCTTCCCGTGGGAGGCGGTGGTGCTGACAACCGCTGGTGTGGTGGGTGGGCTTTTGCGGAATGCTTGCTGACGAAGTAACTTTGCTCGCGTTGTGGACTCCGTTGTGATTTTCGCGAATGAATCTCCCTCGGGATGACCGTAGATTGGTCGAATCGGACGGTCCCACACACCGCCTAGCTCGAAATCAACGCGGGACATCGGACGTGCGTGACCTTCACTGCGACTGTTCATTCAACCACTTCCTTCCCCCCAGGGCTCACGGTAGCAGGGTGCACATCCAGAATTTCGTCAAGATTTCTCTATTGCTGCCAAACAGCCGTCTGATGGAGGGAGGCGGACTTTCTACTCCAGCCATAGGAGGCCAGCTCGCTCTCCTCTAGCCGTCGGGTACTGAACTCGCTGGCATTGCATGTATCACGGTTCTGACGCGTTCTAAACGCACCTTGAGATTCTTTTGAATGCGAGTCTCTCCTAGAACGCCGCGTGACGTGTTACTGGGAACGACGCCACTCAGACGTAGTTGACTACCATTTCCAGCTGAGTAATTCAAGACATGCGAAGCGTTTGGTCTAGCTGTCGTAACTTCCCCGACTCGTCCCCTCGAGCAAATCCATAGCTTTTTAAGAGCCGCGTTTAGGTCAGTCCAGGTCGATAGAGCTAAGTGACTCGAAGCTTTTGTCTCCTCGTACCATCATTAACGGGAAGAACAGACATATCAAATCGGGCAAAGGTCTTCGTGCGTAGCCGGTGAACATCGGGTTAGCACGTTGCGATCTCAACTTGCGTTTCCCAGCCGGCGATTGTGACTTGCAATTTGCGGTTGTAAGCCAGCTATTCTCTGCAATTCTCTGCCGTCAATTCTCTGCCGTCAATTCTCTGCCGTCAATTTTCAGCCCGCGGATTCTTAGCCTCCGCGTTCTCAGCCGGCAATTCTCAATTGGTACTCTTAACCGACGACCCTGCGACTCCTGCGACTCGTGCGGCTCGTGCGACCCGTGCATCCACATCACCATTGCTTCCTCATCCGACCGACGGTGCATGAACATGGCAATGTCACTATACGCGTTAAAGCCGTCCGCTTTACAAAGTTCCTCACCACCACATCACCGCAAATCTACTCATCTGCGCCGTTCGGCCTGCTTCCTTACCCGTTTCTCTTGCTTCATCCTCCCCCACCTCCTCCTCCTCCTCCTCCTCCTCCTCCTTCTCCTCCACCCACTCGGGCCACCCTCAGCAGCTACCGCCGCAGCAGCACATCCGTTTCCTCTTACTCGAAGCACCATGGACAACCGAAGCGAGGAGTCTTCTAACGCGTATACAGCTACTACTCGTGAAAGCACAATTTGGTCGCGAAGTGCTACTGTCCGTGCTGCATTTACGAGCGGATACGAAGGGAAGGCACTTGGAGGTATGGGTGTAGACACCGCCGCGCCGAGAGTCTTAACGGAGGCGCCTGTAGCGAATCTGACGCCGGAGAACGAGATCCTGCAGGTGTGCCGAACGGCAGGGCCCGCCACCATCGCCATCGCTCCCGATCTCAACGGACAGACCTGGCGAGGCTGGGGCACGTCGCTTGCATGGTGAGTATCTTCTTGGTGCATTTCCACTCCACTGACTAATTCTCCATACATCGCCACCATCGCCATCGCTCCCGATCTCAACGGACAGACCTGGAGAGGCTGGGGAACGTCGCTTGCATGGTGAGTATCTGGTGTTTTAGAATGTTCAAAACCACGTCGCTTGCATAGTGAGTACCTTCTTGGTGCATTCCCAATACCAGTTCCCCAAGGCCGACAACCATTGCTCTAGAGGGGCTTGGGGCACGTCGCTTGTCTGGTGAGTCGCTTGTCTGGTGAGTCGCTTGCCTGGTGAGTCGCCTGTCTGGTGAGTCGCTTGCCTGGTGAGTCACTCGCCTTGAAACAGTTATTCTCGGTGCATTTTTCAGCAACCTGCTCCCCAGCCCCGCCACCATCGCCATCGCTCCCGACCTCAACGGACAGACCACCATTGCTCTAGAGGGGCTTGGGCACGTCGCTTGCCTGGTGAATTGCTCGCCAAGAACGGCTCTTTATGGTGCATTTTTCAATAACCTAATCCTTGGCCTAATCTTTGATCCATTCTCCACCCCTCTTCACCGCATCCAAACCCCCCAAAACCAACCCCATCAGGTTTGCCAACTATATCGGCAAGCTCCACCAGACCAGCTGAACTAAATTCTTGACCTAATCTTCGATCCATTCTCCGGAATGGGGCTCAACCTCGCACGATACCTGATCGGGGGCAGCTACAATCTCCTCTCCTCCCACATACTCATTTTCTCTCCCCCCCCCCACCTCCCCTCCCCTCTTCCCCCCAACTCCTCCTATTTCCCACATTCCCTCCTCCCTATCTCAGGTATGCCAACTGTATCGGCAAGCTCAGCCGAACAAATTCCTTGACCTAATCTTTGATCCATGCTCCACCCCTCCTGACCCAATCCAATCCTCCAATCCATCAGGTTTGACAACTAATCAGTAAGCTCCCACCAGACCAGCTCAACCAAATTCTTGACCTAATCTTTGATCCATCCTCCACCCCTCTTCACCGCATCCAACCCCCCAACCTCACCAGGTTTGCCAACTATATCGGCAAGCTCCTTCCAGACCAGCTTAATCACATCCCCGACCTCCTCCCACATACTCACTCTGTTTTCCCTCCTCCCCCCAACCCCCATTTCGCCCATTTATCTCCCCATTCCCTCCTCCCTATCTCAGGTATGCCAACTATATCGGCAAGCTCCCACCAGACCAGCTGAACCAACGACTTGACCTAATCTTCGATCCCACCTCTGGAATGGGGCTCAAATTCGCACGATACCTTATCGGCGGCAGCTACAATCTCCTCTCCTCCCACATACTCATATCATCTCCCCCCCCACCCTCTCCCCCCCAACTCCTGCTATTTCCCCCATTCCCTCTTCCCTATCTCAGGTTCGCCAACTATATCGGCAAGCTCCCACCAGACCAGCTCAACCAGATCCTTGACCTTATCTTCGATCCATCCTCGGGGATGGGGCTCAACCTCGCACGCTACCTGATCGGCGGCAGCTACAATCTCCTCTCCTCCCACATACCCGTTTCCTCTCCCCCCCCCTCCCCCCCAACTCCTCCTATTTCCCCCATTCCCTCCTCCCTATCTCAGGTTTGCCAACTATATCGGCAAGCTCCCACCAGACCAGCTCAACCAAATCCTTGACCTAATCTTCGATCCATCCTCTGGAATGGGCCTCAACCTCGCACGATACCTTATCGGCGGCAGCTACAATCTCACCAACAGCCCGAAATTCGACACTGCGACCTGGGAAGCCTGCGCAATTCCGGGTTATAGACCTTTGAAAGACGGGCCGTACGATTGGACGAGGGATTGGCGGCAGCGGAAGGTTCTGGACGGGGCTATAGCGAGGGGAGTGGATGAGGTGGACGCGATTATTTACTCCCCACCTTGGTGGATGACTATATCAGGGGATACTGCTGGGAATGTGAAAGACGAGACGAATCTTCAGCCGGACGCGTACGGCGCTTACGCGGATTATATGGCTGATGTGGTCGGCCGGTTTCGGAGCCATTGGAACGTGACTTTCTCGACGATGAACCCGGCGAATGAGGCGCTAGAAGGGTGGTGGGTGAAAGGGGCCCGGCAGGAGGGGTGTAACTTCAAACCGGAGCAGCTTGAGAAGCTGGTGTGGGCAGTGGCAGCGGCTTTAAGGAAGCGGAATTTAAGGACTGGTGTGGCGGGTTTCGACAGTTTTGTCGGGGCTACAGTGAGGTTCCGGCACAAGTTTACCGCGAGGGTAAAATCCATTTTGAAACGGATTAATGTGCACCAGTACGTGCCCCCACCCTCCAACACCTCCGATGCTCGGCAGTATATCGAGGCAACCTATGTGAGTATGGCGAGGATGGCGATTGGGCTAGGGAAGGAGGTGTGGGTGTCGGAGGTGGGGCCGATGTGGGTGGGAGGAAATCAAATTGATGTGGCGTTGTTCTTGGCGCGATCGGCGATTCAATCGATCAACATCATGGGAGCATCCGCTTGGATTTACTGGCAAGCGATCAACGGCGCATCGGAGACGAACGTGAATGCGATCAAATGGGGCATCTTCACGATCCCGTTTAATCGGTTGAGTGACGAGACAGCCCCGCCGCTGGATATAGTCCTGACGAAGAAGTTTTACGTGTTGAAGCAGCTCGCTCATGGGTCTCCCAGAGACAGTATGCCTTTGCAGATTGATTCAAGTAACGGGTGTCAACACTGCGTGGCTGCTTTCTACCACCCCACCAAGCACTTCATCTCAATCTTCGTTGTCAATCAACAAGACAGCTCGTATGACCTGACTTTTACATTCACTGCGTTTGGGCTCTTTGATTCGCAAAGTCCATGCGAAATGGAGATGTGGCGGACGTCTACGTCTGAAGATGCTTCACTGGTTTCATCACAGAGCTTTGCAGACATGCCTTCTTCATTCGCTGTTACAGCTGAAGGGCTTAGCATGACGTCAATTGTGTTTTCTAATGTTTCCTGGTTGTAAATGCATTTGCTGTATTGATTCGCTTCACTTGAGGAGTTCAGTTGATTTGTACCGCATTCCCCAAAATTGACGGCGGCGCATCGAACCTGATTGCTGAGGGTTGCAGTCGGTCTGGAGAGGTGTGTTCGGCGTTGAAAATGGTACGGATAGTTACGCCGAGATAATAAGCGGTACATATCTGAAGGTTAATATAATCTTGACCTTGGTCAACCCCCAACGGTCAATAGGCGATCAATTGTTTGATCGTGAAAATATTATAGTGCTGTCTGATTGGTTAATTCTCGCAGTTGCAGTCAGCCGATTGGTTTTCGTGTGAAAAATGGGCAGCGAATATTCGAAGGTACAATACTTTTCTTGACACTCCCACTCTCCTTGGCCCTTTTTGGCAGTGACACGAGTTCGAACCCATAACGTGTTTAAATTTTTGAAAGACAGTTCATAAAGTACAGTTATTTTGACCATTGTAAAAGTGAACCACCACACAAAAGTGATTCTGTCAGGGAGAGAACCTCCCACACAAAAGAGACCGTTCTGTAAACTCGCTGGGATGAGCCCGAAACAAACGTCGTGTGAACGCGCCACTGAGCTCCCTACGCTATGCATCGCTTCGATAGGTAACGGAGCTCCCAGTGGTGCATGTACACGCCTCCCAGAATACTGCTGTACGGTAGTTTCAACACCAAACATTTGGGCATCACGAGGAACTGTCACTGTCATTTGCTTGTTCTGTTTGCCAGAACCAGCATTGTGCTGGACGTCTCATTTCGTAGAACTTCCATGACTGCTCTTGCAGTGGTAATACGGATCATGGGCTTTCTCTAGACGGGCATTTTCTGTAATTCAGGCCGTTCTATTTTAATATTCGGTCTAAACTCACTCGCTCGACCAGCGTAGGCGCCATGGAATGCCTGATCACCCTGCCTAGTCGCAACGCTCCATCGATTTCTTCCTCCATTCTGAAAGCAAAATGCCGCGAAACCTCTCCGAGTAATTCGCAGCCAATCAGAGCCTCCTCGTTGCTGCAGCAGCAATCCCTCCAACGGATCACTTTCACAACTCGCCGTCACGCGCTAAGTTCTACACTCTCGGTCAATAGCAGACAATCTTTCGGTCCCTCCTATAGCGTGAACTCCGCAAGCAGGAAAATTCGAGCTGCGAGTGCTGCTAACGCGGATGGAGGGGAAACGACCGAAGCAGCAGCGCCTGACGTGGCAGATGATCCCGCCACCGTGGCAGCCCAGATGGCATTGAGCGTCTCGGAAGAGGCGCTTCCGGAGGGTGACGTGGACGAGGCGCGCGCCGCAGCCGCCGCTGCGCTGCTCGAGAGCGAGCTACTCCAAAAAACGCCGGGAATTGCGGCTGGAAACGCGGCGGAAACTGCGGCTGGGGAGATGCGAAAAGAAGGAGCGGAAGAGAGCAGCATCGGAGCTGCAAGCGCTGCTTCTGCAGCTGTCGCTGAGCCGCAGTCGAACGTGACAGTAACGAAGGGGACTAAAAAGGGGATCACAGTCAAGGGAAAGAAAGTGACAGTAAAAGGGAGAGCAGGAGGGGGAGAGAAAGCTTGGAGCGGATCAGAGGGGGAAGGTGACAGCAGCGGGAGTGGGAATGATAGTGGTAGCGGCAGTGATAGTGGAGGAGAGGAGGTGTTTCATGTGGTGTGGTCATCCAGAGACAGCAAGATAGACTATCTCGGGGAGAGCACTAAGGGGGATATGGTGCTTCCGGATCTCCCTGTCGACCTCGGTAAGCCCAGATAAAAGAGTCTCCGAAGGTCAAATGTGGGAGTGAGAGTGAGAGTGAGAGTGAGAGTGAGAGTGAAAGTGACAGCGGTAGCGATAGTGGAGGAGAGGAGGTGTTTCATGTGGTGTGGTGGTCCAGAGACAGCAAGATAGACTATCTCGGGAAGAGCACTAAGGGGGATATGGTGCTTCCCGATCTCCCTGTCGACCTCGGCAAGCCCAGATAAAAGAAACTCTATTAGCTAAAAGCGGAAGGGGGGGATTATTTATTTGATATGGTCGCGTGCAACACACTTTCCCAGTCTCCGCCCTCCCCCATTCCCTCCCGCATTCTTCCCCCTCCATACCCATCTCTTCCGCACCAGGGAACAAGGGGCCTTTCCAGAAATTCGTCAAGGCAGAGGGTGATGAGGTAGCTCACCTTCAGTTTCTCTTTCCTTCCCCCGTCCCTTACATTCTCCTTCCCTTCGCAGCAGCAGCAGAGAACGAGGGGTGGCGTGCCTTTGATCTCGCCAAGGCAGAGGCTGACGAGGCCGAGACTGATGATGGTGCTGCATAACCGGTCTCCCTTTCCCACATCTCCCCACCCCCCTACAGAGAACGAGGGGCGGCGGGCCTTTGACCTGGAATTGCAGGCCGATCAGGGGCCCATAGAGGAGCTCGCCAAGGCAGAGGCTGATGAGGCGGAGATGCTGCTGGAGCAGCTGGGCGTGCCTGTGAGTGCCTTTGTGGCTGTGACTGTGGGTCATTGTGACTGTAAGGAAGCACGGTAGTGTGTGTGACTGTATGAGGAGCTCGCCAAGGCGGAGGCGGATGAGGCAGAGCTGCTGCTGGAGCAGCTGGGCGTGCCTGTGAGTGACTGTCATAGACAGATGTGACAGTACGATTTTGCGGAACGCTGAGGCAGACGTCTTGTGAATCGTCCATCCACTCCTCTTCCCACCCACTGTTTATCCCTGCCAGCCCCAGTTCCCGCATGGGCTGGCGTCGCGCGGCATCTTCTGCAGCCGCACCCTCAACCTGCGATTCATACATCCCGCCTCTGCACACATCACATATTCCTTTTGTCTCTGTGTCTCCCCATGCTTATCCCTGCCAGCCCCAGTTCCCGCATGGGCTGGCGTCGCGCGGCATCTTCTGCAGCCGCACCCTCAACCTTTGATCCCTAAACCCCCCCGTCTCCGTCTCTGCACACATTACATATCTCTTGCTCTCTGCGTCTCTCTATTCCTGTCCCTGCCAGCCCCAGTTCCCGCATGGGCTGGCGTCGCGTGGCATCTTCTGCAGCCGCACTCTCAACCAACCTGCAATCCGTACATCTTGCCTGCGCATGTAACATGTATTCCTTTGTCTGCGCATCTTTCAATGCTTATCCCTGCCAGCCGCAGTTCCCCCATGGGCTGGCATCGCGCGGCATCTTCTGCAGCCGCACCCTCAATCTTCGATCGATCACGACCATCGGATATGACATGGACTACACTCTGATTCATTATAACGTCAATGTAAGCACTCTTATTGAGTATGAAATGGACTACACTCTGATTCACTATAACGTTAACGTAAGTACCAATGCTGCTGAATACGTCATTCGTTGCTACAAGTAGGCAAAGCCAAGTATGATAAAATACGGCATTGACTATGCCCTGATATGCTAGAAAAATGAAAACGTGTGCACGTCCCCTTTTCTCCCACCAGTAATCCAGACCAATTGAACCAAAACCTTTGCCTCTTTTCCGAACCTCTTTCCCCGTCCAGGCTTGGGAGGGCCGAGCCTATGACTACGCCATGGAGAACCTCCGAGCCAAGGGGTACCCGACCAAAGGGCTGAGGTTCGATCCGGACCTGGTGATCCGAGGGTTGGTGATGGACAAGGCGAGTGGCAACCTGGTGAAGTGCGACCGGTTTGGGTTCGTCAAGCGAGCCATGCACGGCACTGAAATGCTCTCCAACAAGGCCATCAGGTGAGGCGTGCAATTCGGAAGGTGAGCAGGCTGTGGTCTGAGCTAGCAAGGTGTCATCTGTGGTTCGTGACGTGAGCCATGCATGCACGGCACTGAGATTCTCTCCAATAAAGCCATCAGGTGTGTTAAGCAAAGAGGGCGATCAAGTGAGTAGGGCGATTAGCTGTCTCTCGATCGGCTCACAAGTCACCATGGGCAGAGGCGCTTTCTATCAGGCCGGTTGGGTGTTGGGGTCGGGGGAGGAGGTGTGACCTGGTGATCCGAGGGTTCACCGCCTTGACCCCTCTCTCCCTCCTTCCTTTTCTGCTTTGTGTTTCCCCACGCCACCTCTCTCAACAGCAAGCTGTATGGCAGGGAACTAGTGGACTTGAGGAACGAGGGCAGGTGGGAGTTTCTCAACACGCTCTTCAGTGTGAGCAAGGCCGTGGTGTACATGCAGATGGTTGACTGTGAACTGCTCTTTACCTCCTGCTGATGGCTCAACTGACTGCCCCTGTTGCCCCTCTTGATCTATCCCTCTGTGTTTTCCAGCAAGCTATATGGCAGGGAGCTGGTGGATCTAAGGAATGAGGGCCGCTGGGAGTTTCTGAATACACTCTTCAGTGTGAGCGAGGCTGTGGTCTACATGCAGATGGTTGACCGCCTTGACCAGGGGCTATTGCCTGCTGAGGTGGCTCCTGGAGACTACAAGACTCTTTATAAGGTGACTCATTATAGACGCATTGTGTTATGTGTTAGGTACCCGTTAGTTGGTGGTGTACATGCGGATGGTTGACCGACTTGACCAGGGGCTGCTGCCTGCTGAGGTGGCTCCTGGGGACTACAAGACCCTCTATAAGGTGACTCGTTATAGTGTGATTCACTATGAGGGCCTTTTTTGTCCTTCTTGCTCTAAGCTGTACGTTTGCTGCTGACAATCTAGAAGACTACTCATTGTGTGAGACTGCCTGCTTTACTTGGCCGTCCAGTCCTTCTTTTGCTACAACCACCCGTTCTTCTGCCTCAATGCATTCCCTACTTTCGAAGCCTAAGCCATCTCACCGCCTTTTGAGGCGCCTCAAAAATCGGCCAATCCTCTTTTACTACAACCACCCGTTGTCCTGCTTCAATTAAATCCCTACTTTCGAAGCTTAAACCGTCTCACCGCCTTGTCTCTTCTTCATCTCCATCTCCCTCTTCTCCGCTACTTTTCATCTCAGGTCGTGGCCAGAGCTCTCTTCCGAGCACACGTGGAGGGGCAGCTCAAGGTAGGGCATATAAAGGGGCATACGGTGGGGGTGGGTGCAGGGGGAGGGTTGGGAGTGGAAGGTAGGGTGCAGTGAGGCGCCTCAAAAAATGAGACGCCTCAAAGGTACGCAGTGCCCTGCCCCTTCACGTGGTGGCAAGAGCTCTCTTTCGAGCCCACGTGGAGGGGCAGCTTAAGATAGGGGGAGTGAAGGGGCACAAGGGAGGGGATGGCAGGGGGGGAGGTGGGAGGGAGATGGTGTGTAGAGCACGAAAAGCACCTTTTCAGGTGGTGGCCAGAGCCTCTTTCGAGCCAGTGCCCCACGTGGAGGGTTAGGAGTGGAAGGCACGGTACGAACGCAGTGCTCCTTCAGGTCGTGGCCAGCCAGAGCTCTCTTCCGAGCCCCCAGGTGAAGGGGCAGCTCAAGACAGGGTGAATGAACGTTGGGAGGGGGTGCGCTTGTTGTAAGTATCAAAGATGAGGCTGTCTGTCAATAGGATACAAGCTGGTATTTGAGGACCAGAATTTGGCAGGGAAGCGGCTGCTGCTGCTCATCACCAACTCGCACGCCGGCCCACCTTTCACCCTACTTCCCCCCGTCCACCCTGTATCTTCCCTCCTCCGCAGGCTGAAATCATCAACTCGCCCGAGAAGTTTGGAGCTGGATCCTGAGCTTCCTTTGGCTCTCTTAGACCAGAAGCTGGCAGGGAAGCGCCTGCTGCTCATCACCAACTCCCGCGCCCGGCCCACCTTTCAACCTACTTCCCTCCGTCCACCCTATATGTTCCACTCCTCCACAGGCGGAGATCATCAACTCGCCCGAGAAGTTTGTGGAGCTGGACCCAGAGCTGCCTCTGGCTCTGCTGGACCAGAAGCTGGCAGGGAAGCGGCTGCTGCTCATCACCAACTCCCAACCAATTCCCATGCCTGCCCCCCCTCAGGCGGAGATCATCAACTCACCCGAGAAGTTTGTGGAGCTGGACCCAGAGCTGCCCCTGGCCCTGCTGGACCAGAAGCTGGCGGGGAAGCGACTGCTGCTCGTCACCAACTCGCATGCCTGCAGCCCTCTCACCCCCTGTGTCCCCCTGTCCATCCTCCACTCCCTCAACATGCAGAGATCATCAACTCGCCAGAGAAGTTTGTGGAGCTAGACCCAAAGCTCCCCTACCCCCTCCCCTCCCCCCTCCCCTCCCCCCACTCCCCCCTCCCCTCCCCCCCCCCCTCCCCCCCCCCCGACCCCCTCAGGCGGAGATCATCAACTCACCCGAGAAGTTTGTGGAGCTGGACCCAGAGCTGCCTCTGGCTCTGCTGGTCCAGAAGCTGGCAGGGAAGCGGCTGCTGCTCATCACCAACTCCCAACCAATTCCCATGCCTGCCCCCCCTCAGGCGGAGATCATCAACTCACCCGAGAAGTTTGTGGAGCTGGACCCAGAGCTGCCCCTGGCCCTGCTGGACCAGAAGCTGGCGGGGAAGCGACTGCTGCTCGTCACCAACTCGCATGCCTGCAGCCCTCTCACCCCCTGTGTCCCCTGTCCATCCTCCACTCCCTCAACATGCAGAGATCATCAACTCGCCAGAGAAGTTTGTGGAGCTAGACCCAAAGCTCCCCTACCCCCTCCCCTCCCCCCTCCCCTCCCCCCACTCCCCCCTCCCCTCCCCCCCCCCCTCCCCCCCCCTACCCCCTCAGGCGGAGATCATCAACTCGCCCGAGAAGTTTGTGGAGCTGGATCCTGAGCTTCCCTTGGCTCTCTTAGACCAGAAGCTGGCAGGGAAGCGGCTGCTGCTCATCACCAACTCGGACTATCAGTACACGCACCGCATGATGACCCATGCCTTCGACCGGTTTCTACCCGAGGAGATGACCTGGCGGTCGCTCTTTGACATGGTAAGTGGCACCAGCTTGCTGCATAGGCAACCATGTTGTTGCTAGGCTGAAGCGGCTGCTGCTGATCACCAACTCGGACTATCAGTACACCCACCGCATGATGACCCATGCCTTCGACCGGTTTCTACCAAAAGAGATGAAGTGGAGGTCGCTCTTTGACATGATAAGGTAGAAGCTCTGTGACATGGTATTAGTTTCAGCTTGCAAGCCCTAGTTCTTCTTCATGGCTCACCCGCTGTGCCATATGACACCTAACAATCACTGACCCTCTTCTTCACCACCTCACTTCCATCCTGCATCATCCCCCACCCCTTCCGTGATCGTCTTGGATCGCAAGCCCGAGCTCTTCTCCATGGCTCACCCGATGTTCGAGATCGTGACACCAGTCAATCACTAACCCTCCTTCCATCCCCACCTCACGCACGTCCCTCATTCTCCGTCATCCCCGGCCATCCTACCATTAGGTAACCGTTTCTTCTCCATGGCGCACCCGCTGTATGAGATTGTGACACCTGATAAACTCTGACTCTGCTTCTGTCACCACCTCTCGCCCATCCCTCATTCGCATCCCCCATCACCCCTTACTCCTCCCAGGTGATAGTCTTGACTCGCAAGCCCGTTTTTCTCTATAGCCCACCTGCCGTATGAGATAGTGACGCTTGATGGACTCATGCGACCATACTTCTGTCACTCCCTCTCTGCCTTTGCGCATCACCCATCATCCTCCCCCCTCCCCCCCCCCCCCTCGCTAGGTGATCGTCTCGGCTCGTAAGCCCGAGTTCTTCTCCATGGCTCACCCACTGTACGAGATCGTAACACCAGACGGGCTCATGCGACCGTGCTTCAAGGCCAATCCCGGTACGTGCCTGCTTCAAGACCAATCCCAGTACCTGCTTGCTCAAAAGTCAATCATAATAAATGAGTTCTGATAAAAGTAGCAGTAGTTGGGAAGATATGAACCTTTTTTTGTTGGATTCTGCGCTGCTCTTTCCGGTACTCGTGCAGCTACGCCACTCAATCCAACATTTCCTGTGGCACCGGCTCCTTCCTGCACTAATGTGGCTCGACCTGAGCTGCACGCACCAGAGTGTTCCACTTGTTTTGACGTTGTAAGGGGTTTTTGAGACGGTGATACGAAAAAAGGAGATGATGCACATGAAAGGGAGTAAAACAACACAAGTCTGAAAAAGAGCTTGTCAATTGAGTTCCGAGGAAGTTGGAACTCGTATGTGCATCCACTTTTTCACATGACCACCCCCTGGTTATGTTAAAAAAGTGTGTGCACATACGAGTTCCAACTTCCTCGGAGTTCATTTGACAAGCTTGTTTTCACACTTGTGTTGTTTTACTCCCCTTCATGTGCGTCATCTATTTTTTCTCCTCTCTGTCATTCCCCTCTTCCCAGGGCTTTCTCAACCATCTAGGGGCAGCGCCTCAGATGGTTGAGAAAGCCCTGGGATTCGCTGGAGAGACGCAGTACGGGGGCGACCACATGTACACGGATCCTCGTTCGCTCACTCCCCTTCGGCCCTCTTTCACTCCCCTCTCTCTTTCCCCTTGTTCATCCCCCTCATTGGTTCCCCATTTCCCAGGAGGGCTGTATTGTGGAGGCAGCGCGCAGATGGTAGAAAAGGCTCTGGGATTCGCAGGGGACGAAACATTATATGTTGGCGACCACATCTACACGGATGTGTCGCAGTCCAAGCTGCACCTGCGCTGGCGCACGTGCCTCGTCTGTCGGGAGCTGGAGCAAGAGGTGTGTGTCTGGGATTCAAAGAAGCTCACAGGGGTTCGCAGGGGTTCACAGGGGTTCACAAGGGGGACGAGACTCTGTACGTGGGAGATCACATCTACACGGATGTGTCGCAGTCCAAGCTGCACCTGCGCTGGCGCACGTGCCTCGTGTGTCGCGAGCTCGAGCAAGAGGTGCGAGGCAGTGATGGAGAGTGTGTGTATGTGGGTGTAAGTGTGTAGGCGTGCGCATATGCCTATGGAGTAAAAGCTGCACCTGCGCTGGCGCACGTGCCTCGTGTGCCGCGAGCTCGAGCAAGAGGTGCGAGCGATTGAGGGAGGGCAAGAGGTGCGAGCGAGTGATGGGGAGTGTGTGGGGTGTGGGTGTGGGTGTGGGTGTGGGTGTGGGTGTGGGTGTGGGTGTGGGTGTGGGTGTGGGTGTGGGTGTGGGTGTGGGTGTGAGATGTGTCTTCAACCAGCGGAGGCTGGCCTTGCAGCGGATCTTAGGCAATGGCTCTTGAGCTCGTATCAACCCATCCCGTTGTCTTTTGAGTAGATTCAAAAGTATGACTTCTGAGTCGACTCAAAAGTCAGCTGGCTTTGCAGCGGATCTTAGGCAGTGGCTCTTGAGCTCATATCAACCCATCCCGTTCTGCGTGTACTGGCCCAGGTGGATGCTCTTATCCAAGCCCACGACATGAGGCTGAGGCTGATTGACCTGATGGCTCAGAAGGACAGGGTGGGAGACTGCTTTAACCAGCTGAGGCTGGCCCTACAGAGGCGCACGCAGGGGCAGGCACGCATGAGTGTTGCACCCCCTCCTTCCTTGCAGATTCAAGCCCTAATCCAAGGGCACGACACGAGGCTGAGACTCATAGACCTGATGGCTCAGAAGGACCGAGTAGGGACTTTTTCAACCAGCTGAGACTGGCCCTGCAACGGCGCACGCAGGGGCAGGCGGCACAGACGGCAGCGGTGGGGGAGATGGAGGATGGGGTCAATGACTGGTGGACGGCAAGCTCATGCCAACCCATCCCCCATCCCTTTCCGTGCCCTCTTTCCTCGCAGGTTGCAGCCCTGATCCAAGGCCATGATACCCGGCTGAGACTCATAGATCTGATGGCTCAGAAGGACAGGGTAGGAGACTGCTTCAACCAGCTGAGGCTGGCTCTGCAGAGGCGCACACAGGGGCAGGCGGCACAGACGGCAGCGGTGGGGGAGATGGAGGATGGGGAGCTAGTGAGGAGCATGCAGCGGCTGCTGTGGATCATGGCGAGGCTTGACGGGGAGATTGCTCCCTTGCTGGAGACAGATGGAGCTGCTTTCAATGACAGGTGAGTGTGCTGTGCTGCTGGGGGTTCAGTGCGGTTTAAAGGTGCTGGTTTTACTCCCTCTAAGTGAGGCTCGCCCTGCAGAGGCGCACACAGGGGCAGGAGGCACAGACGGCAGCGGTGGGGGAGATGGAGGATGGGGAGCTAGGGAGGAGCATGCAGCGGCTGCTGTGGATCATGGCGAGGCTTGACGGGGAGATTGCTCCCTTGCTGGAGACGGACGGTGCTGCTTTCAACGACAGGTGAGTGTAGGTGCTACTCCCCCTGCCCCGGAATGGTCTGGTGAGGAGCATGCAGCGGCTGTTGTGGATCATGGCGAGGCTTGATGGGGAGATTGCTCCCTTGCTCGAGACGATGGGGCCGCTTTCAATGACAGGTGAGTGTGTGTGCTGTTGGGTGCAGTGCGGTTCGAAGGTGTAGTAGGTCCTACTCCTGCTTGATATGGTGAATGGGGTGAGGAGCATGCAGCGGCTGCTGTGGACCATGGCGAGACTCGACGGGGAGATTGCTTCCTCGCTTGAGACAGACGTTTTAAGTCGTCTCATTGTTTGCCCTCTCTTTCCTTCATATTTCAACCTTTCTGTCTGTGTGTGGCCAGATGGGGATACCTCTCTCGAGCTGGACTTTGGGATAAGAGCCACATTACCCGGCAAATAGAGAAGTGAGTTGGTAGATTATCCTGCAAGATACCAAAAGTGCATCACTTCCATTCTGTTTTTGTAAGTACATCATGCTCATGTTGCTTCCTTTCCTTTTACTGTTTTATGCTCTTTTGTAATTTCCATTTGTGTTCTTTCTTGCGTCAGATATGCCGACATCTACACCTCAAGAGTTTCCAATTTCTTGCGCTACACCCCGTTCATGTACTTCCGAGCACAAGGGCAGGTACAGTATTGACCCTTAAACAGCTTGCTATTGCATCCCAGTCCTCTTTGTTCTGTTTTTTCCATCCCTCGCACTTGCATCCCATAATCCTTTTGAAGGATTTATCTATCTACTAAAAGTGTTCCTCCGTTTCTGTTCGTTTGGTACATGCAGTCTTGTGCACATGATGTTTCAGACACATGGCCTATCACCAGTTTGCAGCCGTTCTCATCTTCCGAACATGATTTGCAATAACACAAAGAGAATTGCTGTAACGTGAGGATTGATGTTGGGGTGGTGGTGGTGGTGGTGTACAATGGGAGTATAAGAGCAGAATGACTCTGACTAGGAGGAGATGGTACACTATCATGAGCATACTTATATGCTTACACCCTAAAGTTATTAACAACTATAATGAACCATAAGCCACAGTTCCAAAAGAACATAAAATTCTCTGACAACACATGAAAAGGAAAAACATGCACTGGGGGTAAAAATGAAGCTCCCTTTATGAGCCTTGATCTTCAGAGTGGGGGGTTGAAAAGCCAGATGTCTTTAACGCCTGAATTTTAATTCAATAGCTTCTTTAGCCCTGCCCTCGCAGATGAGCCCATCATGGCAGGATGCAAGGCCCAAACTCTCCCTTAGATACCCTATGTGGCGTGAGAACGTTGACCGTTGGGTAGTCATTGTGACCATGGCGTGCGCTGCCACTAGCTTATCCACCATTGCTAGCTGATCTGGTTGAAGATTCAGCTCCTTAGGCAATCTGACAACCACAATCGACCATGCGTACCCCCTGGCCCGAGCAATCGATCCTTGCGACCTTAACTGCTCCTTGAAAAAACTCCAGTTCCTCATCAGAAGCATCAGAGGAAACGAAAAGGTTGGTCACGTTCAACTGCACCATTTTCGATGCAGTACACTCCGCCACAGCCTGTAACGGCCAGTACTGTAGACCCACCTGGAGGCTATAGTCAAGAAAATCCGTCCGCCGAAGGTGTATAGAAGCATAATTCACCCCGAGGTACTCCTTCAGGAACGCTGAAGCTTGGTTAAGCACATGCTGGGGAGGCCGGAAAAGCAGCTCACACGAGGTGTTGAAGAATCGACTAGGCCAGAAGAAAGTAGAGTCAATAGGATTAGTATCATTGAAGAATGAGTAGAAAAGATCACCAAGAGAAAGCACAGGAACGTTGGCAGTTGCAGCTGCGATCTTTGGAGCCAGGTCAAACAGATTAATACCCTTCTCCTCGCTGACGATCTCTTTCTCTGAGAGCTTTATTCCTTTCGCCTCGCCGCAGCTGCTGTCTATGAAGTGACAGCTGTTCTTCACCTGGCCGCAGAGGACCTTATCAACTACTAATTCGTCTCCATTACCGCCATTTGACTTAAGAAAATCTGATCCTGTTATCACCTTGCGGAGAGGCTGTGCTCCGTTTCCCGGACTGGGCTGCTCTCCAAAGCACCGGGACAAGGAGCCAATGTCTAGAATTTCAGAATACACCACCGGCCGGCCAAGAGTGGCGGGGAGACAGAGAGGAACCTCGGGAACAAGCAGCGTGCGGTTAAGGAGAATCGCTGCCAGAATGGTCTTCTGAAAGCATAAGAGGCGATTCGTGCTTCTGCCGTTGGTGCATGAAAGCAAAAGGTACCGGTTGGGTAGAGGAATCCATTCCGGTGCTGCGGTAAGAGGTTCGGATGTGGATGATGATGAAAGGGGGAGTCGGACGCCAATGGGAGTGGCACACGTGTCATTTGAGAGTTGCTCACTTGGGGATGAATTCAGTAGTCTCGGACTGACGCTTTGCTGCAGCTCGATCGATGTGCTTGTATCGAGACTGGAAGCATCCGCTTGAAAAAAATCCGGTGACTGAGAATGCTCGGAACGACCAGCCGGCTGAGGAGCTAAAGCGGCCGAACGAGGGGAGTAGGCTGCGAGGTACCCGAGCAGGAACGTAACCGCGGCGACAAGGAGGAGGTGGTAGGGAAGCTGGTGAAGCTGGGTGAGCATAAACCATTGCTGCTGCTGCTGCTGCTGCTGCTGCTGTTGCTTCGGAAAATGCGGTACGCCATCATGGTGTAATGGGAGGGATGCAGACGACGACGTCATTGCGATGAATCCCACCGAACAACGACGTCTTTACAATGAATCACAAGCAGCAACTACATGAGAACGCTATTTCACGAACATTAGTAAGCGTTTTTAGGACTTCGTGAGTTCTGAACCCTAGTAAGCGCAATAGCCTGCAATTTCCCCCGTCTAGTCGCTCGCAAAGATCGAGAACTGCTGTTCACAGCTATAATACAAGCAAAACGCTTTGAAACGCACAGCATCGTCTTCCACCGTGTATACTGAACCGCATTCCAAAATTGTGTTGGAGAGAGTTGATGTACCTACCCTAGTCACGGCACTGGCTCCCAAATTCGGGACGATCAGATGGTAACCAGCTGTTCGAAATCACAGAATCTGACGGTTGAGTTCGGTACACTGTTTAAGCAAACAGTCAGTCTGGGTTTAGTACGGTGCTCGTTCAAACAGGCCCGTTCAAGCGTCCGAGGTGACACGCCCTGGGTGAGTACCCCTGTTCATACGGTACTGGGTTGCCTAGATCTCTCCAGCGACTCTCCGCGCTTTTTGGAATCCAGCCTCGCCTCTCTCCCCGGACCAGCAGGCTCGTTAATTCCAAGGAAGCATAGCAACGGCTATGCTGGATCCCACTCTCGCCAGGGTCCCCATCCAAGCCATACCTAGATCCTGAAGCATTCACACTACACGGGACATTGCCGCCAGCAGTCATGCTAATCACTGGCAGGTGGTGATTAGTGGCATTGTCGCGAGCCAGGAGGGAGGAGTTGTTGATTATGAATCTCACGTTGGACTAATTAGTTTGTCCGCTCGTCGAAGCCTGGTGATAAATTGATTCGTAGTGTATTTAGGGGAATGCATGTCACCGACCTGGCACGATTGGAGACGACGCCAGTGAGTCGCAAAACAACGAGAGTGTTGTGCTTGCTTCGCTAGCCTTTTTTGCGTTTAATCAATAATCTGCCATAAGGCCACCGACGGACAGAGTTGCCGTAAACTAACGTTTTTAGTTGCCTAAAGCTATCCTCAATCGGTCCTCTAAAATATATGGGAGAGTGGGAGCTCGCCGGCTGACTGGTTTCCGACCGACTGGTTTCGCCGACTGGCTCCTGGCTGACGAATAGCCGGCAGGTTTCGTTTCGTGCTGACTAGAGAATATTTCATTCGTTTTTTTGTTGACGGGTAGCCGGCAAGATGAGGGGAGGCAAGTTCCAGCAGAAGGTGGTGGAGGATGGCAGCACGCGGAACGCGGAATCTCTTTTCGAGACGCGTTCTATCGCGGATATCGTGGCGATCGAGGCGCGCACGAGGAAGGAGGTGGAGGAGAAGAAGGAGGAGCTTCGACAGCTGGTCGGCGCGAGCTACCGCCACCTTATCGAATCCGCGGATTCGATCCTCGACATGCGAAGGTACGTGTGGGGAAGTACACACCTGGACCTGGGAGACAGACGAGAAGAAGAAGGAGCTGCGACAGCTGGTCGGCGCGAGCTACCGCCACCTTATCGAATCCGCGGATTCGATCCTCGACATGCGAAGGTACGTGTGGGGAAGTACACACCTGGACCTTGGAGACAGACGAGAAGAAGTAAGAGCTGCGACGGCTGGTCGGCGCGAGCTATCGCCATATCATCGAATCCGCAAATTCGATCCTCGACATGCGGAGATACGCGGGGGGACCAACGTATTTGGAAAATGGCGTGTGTTCGAGCCTTGATCCTGGTCGTCATGCGTCAGCAAGTAGGAGGCATATCGAGTTCGCTTAAGATCCGTATGTGTCTCTCTGTGGTTCTCGTGTGATTCCATGTGTGTCTGCATGTTTTTTGTTTGCGTGTTCACATGTGGACAGGTCGTGCGAGGTGATGGTGTGCAATGTGGCAGCCGTAGAGTCTGGCTTCTCTTTGCTGCACATGCTACTTCAAAGTCCCCTGTGTTTTTGTGTGGCAAGAACGTGTTTAATTATGCCTGTTCATATCCGTCTAATTTGCACAGGTCATGTGAAGCGGTGGTGCGCAACGTTGCAGCCATGGAGTCGGATTTTGCTCTGCTGCACAAGACAATCTCCACCACCGCCACCACCACTCCTGCTGCTGATGCCAAGCGCAAGGTGAGAGCACCTGTGTCTTTAATTGGTGAAGTAGGTGAGCACAAGGATATAACGGGCTGATTTTTGAGTCGACTCTAAAATCAACTTTTGAGTCGACTCAAAAATCAAAGCGCAAGGTGAGAGCACCTGTGTCTTTAATTGGTGAAGTAGGTGAGCACAAGGATATAACGGGCTGATTTTTTAGTCGACTCAAAAATCAACTTTTGAGTCGACTCAAAAATCAAAGCGCAAGGTGAGAGCACCTGTGTCTTTAATTGGTGAAGTAGGTGAGCACAAGGATATAACGGGCTATAGATGCAGAGACCCTTCGCTCTGCTTTGCTGCCACCAGATCAGATGTGGGGGTATGACTGAATGTATGATCCGTCCGAGCTGTCATTCGTTGTATAGCTGCACCGTGTACTTGTTATAGTGTTACCCTGTTACCTCTATGTTCCCCCTACGAACGTCCCGTACTGCGCAACGAGTCAAGTACCTGGTGGACACAACGAGAGAAGATCTGGGGTTCTGTGTCAAGTAACCGTGTTACCATGTTTCGCATTATTGTCCTTTTTTCCCCCAACCAAACAGCGCAAAGAGGCGCTATATGCTCTGGGCAGCCAACTCAAGTACCTGGTGGACACGCCAGGGAAGATCTGAGGCTGTGACTGTCACTCGTTACAATGTCACCTGTTTCTGTATGTGCCCGCTCTCCCTCTCCCGCCAATTCCACAGCGCAAGGAAGCACTGTATGCTCTGGGCAGCCGAGTCAAGTACCTGGTGGACACGCCAGAGAAGATCTAGGGGTGTCACTGCCTGCCCTACCGTGTATACTCGTTACAGCGCTATATGCTCTGGGCAGCCGAGTCAAATACCTGGTAGATACACCCGAGAAGATCTGGGGCTGTGTGTTTGGTAACCGTGTCACCATGTTACGAACCTCTGTTCCCTTCTTCCCCGAACTCCGCAGCGCAAGGAGGCGCTATATGCTCTGGGCAGCCGAGTCAAATACCTGGTGGATACACCCGAGAAGATCTGGGGCTGTGTGTTTGGTAACCGTGTCACCATGTTACGAACCTCTGTTCCCTTCTTCCCCGAACCCCGCAGCGCAAGGAGGCGCTATATGCTCTGGGCAGCCGAGTCAAATACCTGGTGGATACACCCGAGAAGATCTGGGGCTGTGTGTTTGGTAACCGTGTTTCCATGCTACGAACCTCTGTTCCCTTCTTCCCCCAAACCCCGCAGCGCAAGGAGGCGCTATATGCTCTGGGCAGCCGAGTCAAATACCTGGTGGATACACCCGAGAAGATCTGGGGCTGTGTGTTTGGTAACTGTGTTTCCATGCTACGAACCTCTGTTCCCTTCTTCCCCCAAACCCGCAGAGGAAGGAAGCACTGTATGCTCTGGGCAGCCGAGTCAAATACCTGGTGGATACACCCGAGAAGATTTGGGGGTGTCTGGACGAGCGAATGTTCCTGGAAGCTGCGCAGCGGTTCATGCGCGCGTGGGAGGTGCACCAGCTGCTGTCGCCCTCCCCAGCTGATGGAGTAGCAGCAGGGGGGGGAGGTTGGCAGGCGCAGCAGCAGCAGCAGGGGTTGATGGCGTCGTTTCCCCTGCTGCGGCACCAGTGGCCGCTTGTGGAGACGTTTCGTACTCAGGTCAGCAGCAGGGGCAGTAGAAGCAACATGAGCAGGGGATGGAGCAGCAGCATGGGTTGATGGCATGCTTTTCTCCGTTGCTGCACCAGTGGCCGCTTGTGGAGACGTTTCGCACGCAGGTGAGTGGCAAGAATCTGTAAGCATAGTTCAATCTAATTGGTGGCAAGAGATGATGGACTCATGGAGTCAATAAGCTGCTTCTTTCTGCTCATTCCCCTCCCCTCCCAGATCGTTGAGGGGTCCACGGAGTGTATGCATGGAACATCCCGCATTCCCTCAGCCCCGGTGGTCAAGCACGCAATCTGGCATCGCCCCTCTGTTGACTCGTGTCCGCCCCTCCTCTTTATACTCATTTCCGCCCCTCCTCTTTCTACTCTTTTTTGCAACCCCCTAAATCAGATCGTTGAGAGGAGCAGGGAATGTCTGCATGACGCATCCCGCATTCCAGCAGCAGGCGTGGGGGAGTATACAACAGCAACTGCATTCTCTAGAACGACTCAACAATCTCTTGCCTTGCACACACTATCCCCCCACTCTTTCCCCTCCCCCAGATCGTTGAGAGGAGCAGGGAGTGTCTGCACGATGCATCCCGCATTCCAGCAGCCGGGGTGGGAGAGTATGCAGCAGCACTGGCAGCAGTGGCGGTGATGGAAGAGCTCTCGTCTCACGACCTCCTCGCTCTCTTCCTCGATGCCCGTAGGGCGTGCCTGCGCTCCCAGGTGTGTTCTCCTCTACCATGCCAGGCAATGAAAGAGGGTGCGACCTTCCTTCCACGACCTGCTTGCTCTCTTCCTCGATGCCCGTAGGGCGTGCCTGCGCTCCCAGGTGCGTGTGTGCGTGTAGCTGCTTCTCTGTATGTGGAGTGGAGATTGAGTATGCAGCAGCACTGGCAGCAGTGGCAGTGATGGAAGAGCTCTCCTCGCATGACCTGCTCGCTCTCTTCCTTGACGCTCGTAGAGCATGCCTGCGCTCCCAGGTGTGTGCGTGTGTGGACGCTTGTCTCTCTGTCTCTGCTACTTGCGGGCTAGTGTGTGAGAGAGAGGGTGGGGAGTACGCAGCAGCACTGGCAGCTGTGGCAGTGATGGAAGAGTTCTCCTCACACGACCTCCTCGCTCTCTTCCTCGGTGCTCGCCGTCCCTCCACTCCTCGCTGTTTCAAGCTCGCCTCTGTCACAACAGTTCTAGGGGACCCAGCTTCGGGGATGAGCTATAGACCAATCTGAAAAGGTTCTTTGCCCCCGTCTCGTTCCATCCTTCCACGCCCACCGCTCCTCCCTGATGCCTTCAGCTCTGGGCGCTGGGGACAATCCGATGTCTGTTACCCCCTCCCCCCATCCGTTCCGATTCTGCTTCACCCCGTTCCATCCTTCCATGCCCTCCGCTCCTCCCTGATGCAGCTCGCCTCCGCCACTTCAGCTCTGGGCGCTGGGGGCAGCTTCGCAGATGGGCTAGTGCAAACCAATCCCCTCCCACCCTCTCTCATCCCCTCTCATCCCGTCCCAACCCCCCTCACGCCCCGCCCGCCCTCCGCTCCTCCCTGATGCAGCTCGCCTCTGCCTCTTCAGCTCTGGGCGCTGGGGGAAGTTTTGCTGATGCGCTAGCCTCACTGCTCAGCCAACTGGTTGCAATGATTCAGGTATGTCAGCTGAAGTTAGCAGGCATACCCATCAAGTTTAACTCATGCGCTTTAATAACTGGTACCCGTGATTCAGTGAAGAATGTCAGTAGCACGTCTAGGTATGGTTGATTCTGCCAATCACCCCCGCCCACCTGCCACCAGCTCACGCTGTGCCAGACGGGGCAGCTGTTCCTGGAGGTTTCCTCGGCTGAAAGGGCGGTGCTGCTGGGGGTGCTGCTGCAGGGAGCAAGGTGCTCCGCCCCCAACCCTTAAACCCTACCCCTATCCCCCACCCACCCACCCACCCACCCGCCACCAGCTCACGCTGTGCCAGACGGGGCAACTCTTTCTGGAAGTTTCCTCGGCTGAAAGAGCAGTGCTGCTGGGGGTGCTGCTGCAGGGAGCACCGCAGGCGCAGCTGTTTGGCGGCATCCCGCACCCCGACAGGGAGCTGGCTCTCTGGCACCAACACAGGGACGCTCTGGAAGCAAGGCTCCCGTCCCTCAGCAGCAAGGAGGTGGCAGAGGCGTGTCAAAACTGGCTCAAGGCGTGCGCTGCTGACATTGCTGGTGAGTAGCCTTCCATTCTAAGAGGCATACTCTCGTTTCTGGGAAGAACACGCCATCCGCACCCCGACAGGGAGCTGGCGCTCTGGCACCAACACAGGGACGCTCTGGAAGCAAGGCTCCCGTCCCTCAGCAGCAAGGAGGTGGCAGAGGCGTGTCAAAACTGGCTCAAGGCGTGCGCTGCTGACATTGCTGGTGAGTAGCCTTCCATTCTAAGAGGCATACTCTCATTTCTGGGAAGAACACGCCATCCGCTCCCCGACAGGGAGCTGGCGCTCTGGCACCAACACAGGGACGCTCTGGAAGCAAGGCTCCCGTCCCTCAGCAGCAAGGAGGTGGCAGAGGCGTGTCAAAACTGGCTCAAGGCGTGCGCTGCTGACATTGCTGGTGAGTAGCCTTCCATTCTAAGAGGCATACTCTCGTTTCTGGGAAGAACACGCCATCCGCTCCCCGACAGGGAGCTGGCGCTCTGGCACCAACACAGGGACGCTCTGGAAGCAAGGCTCCCGTCCCTCAGCAGCAAGGAGGTGGCAGAGGCGGGCCAGAATTGGCTCAAGGCTTGCGCTGATGACATTGCGGGTGAGTTTCAGGGCTTGCAGCGGTTCTTGAAAGGAGGAGCATACAGACAGGGAGCTGGCTCTCTAGCACCAACACAGGGACGCTCTGGAAGCAAGACTCCCGTCCCTCAGCAGCAAGGAGGTGGCAGAGGCGTGTCAAGAGTGGCTGAAAGCATGCGCTGCTAACATTGCTGGTAAGTGCATGGGCGTGGGGTTCTTTAGTAGAGGAGGTGTACGTCATTCACCCACACAGGGAGCTGGCTCTCTGGCACCAACACAGGGACGCTCTGGAAGCTAGATTGCCTTTTTTGAGCAGCAAGGAAGTGGCAGAGGCGTGTCAGGGATGGCTCAAGGCTTGTGCCGCTGACATTGCAGGTGAGCCTGTCTGTGGGCATGGGGTGATCAAGTAGAGGGGATATTCCCCACCCACCCGACTGCCTTTTGTGAGCAGCAAGGAAGTGGCGGATTCATGTCAAGACTGGCTCAAGGCGTGTGCTGCTGACATTGCAGGTGAGTTTCAGCGCTTGCCCCCTGGCGTGGCACCTCTGCGAGCTTCCTCAATTGTTGTTTTTTCTCCTTTTCTCCCACTCTCCCCACGCTCCCTCCACTACCCTTCCCTGCCAGCCGAATCCAGGAACCTCCTCAGCAGGGTCACCCAGATCCGCCACCTGGCGCAAGCAGAGGCCGCCACGCGCGCAGCGATCGCCAACAAGGACATCTTCTCCGCCAGCCTGGACTGGCTAACGTCAGCCTTCGGGTCTCCCCCTGACTCCCCCTGGAGGGCCCTCTGCGAGCTGCTGTTAAAAGAGCCTAAGGACCTATGGAGCGAGTTATTTGAGGCCGCGTTCGCACTTAGGGCGCGGGAGATTATTGATGGGGCGTTTGCGGGGTTGACTCTGAGGGAGGAGATTGATGGGGTGTTGAGGGAAGTGGGAGATGTGGTGGCGGTGGCAGCGGTGGTTTCAGCAGAAAATGCCGCTGCTGCTGCTGCTGGTGCTGCTGGTGCTGCTGGTGCTGGTGCTGGTGCTGGTGCTGGTGCTGCTGGTGGTGCTGCTGCTGCTGCTGCTGCTGCTCGTGCTATGGCCAGTGAGAAGGCAGCAGGTTCGGCAAGCGGAGACAGGAGGTTCGGGGCAGGTTGGGCGAGGCTACCCCCTCTCACTGACGTTATAGGCCAAGCAGGGTTTGAGGAAACAGGCGGGTTTGCTGTAGGTGAGGCGGTTTGGGGCAGCCTGGGAGAGGAGTTGGGTGCGGTGGGGCTGGGTAAAGGCGGGGGAGCGGGGGGAGCAGGCGGAAGGGGGAAGGAGGGTGGGAAAGAGGGTGGGAAGGAGGGCCGCAGGGGGAATGGAGAGGCAGTCTTGCGTGGCACAGAGGTGTATGAGCCCCAGGTAACAGTGGTATGGCAGCAACTAGACTCCAAAATCCAGGAAATTCTGCTAGATGCCCTCACTCTCCTCCTCCCCCACTCTGCACTCGCTCCCTCCTTCCATCCCTCCACCTCCTCCTCCTTCTCTTCATCGGACTCCTCTGCCCCTGCCTCTGCCGCCGCCGCTTCAGCAGCTTCGGCAGCGTCCCGAACCAAGGAGCTGGCGCCGTACCTGCAGGGCCGGTGCCACGAGTGTGTGATGCGGCTGGTTAGGCTGCTGGCAAGCAGGCTCGGGGACCTGCAGAAGCAGCAGCAGCAGGCAGAGGAGGAGACAGAGCAGGCTGAGAAGAAGGAGACTGGGGACGGGAGAGGAGCAGGAGAGAACAGCAGTGCCGAGAACAGCTCTGAAAGTGCGGCAGCAACAGCAGTAGGGGAACGAGCAGGAAACGGGTCAGGAGGTGCGGATGAGAGATCACGATCCAACGGTCCAGATTCAGCGAATGCTGCTGGGAGGTTAGCCGCGCAAGTTGCGGTCGAACAGGCTCTTCTGATTGGCCGGCTGGCGGCTGCTGTAGCGCAGAGTTCCTCCTCTCTAGCAGTAGCGCTTGGGCCTAGCTCCACCTGGCCGGCTGTAGCAGCAGCTGCTGCCGCTACAGCCAGTGGCGATGCTGCTGCTTCGGCTGAATCAGCTTCTGCTGGAGCAACCTCAGATGCTAGTACTGGGGCGGCTTATAGTGGGGATGCTGGGAGGGATGGGGCAAGGGCAGGGGAGCCAGTGCTACAGTGGCCCTCTCAGGAGGTTGTGGGGAGTATTATAGCAGCAGCAGTGGCAGGAGGGGGTGGTGGTGGGAGTGGCAGTGGCGGTGGTGGTGGGTTGAGCTGGATGGGTGGTGGTGGTGTGGGGTTAGGAGGAGTGGGAGGGGGTTCGGGCAGGAGGGGTGGGAGGAGGGTGACGGATCTTGCTGCTGTTACGGCGAGATCAGCTGAATTCGCCCGACTGCATGAGATTCAGGTCTGTATTTCTCTCTTCTACCCACTCGAGGTGTCTTTTGAGTCGACTCAAAAGTCACCTCAAAAGTCACCTCAAAAGCCACCTCTATTACTGGGAAATCAGCTGAATTCGCCCGACTGCATGAGATTCAGGTTCGTGTCCTCTCTTCTACCTACTGAGGGTGGCTGATCATCCTCGCCCACTCACACTGGGTGACCCACCCACAGCACCCACCTGTTCAACCCTCTCGTTGCAACACTCACATTATGCTCGCCTTCCCCATTCAGCACAAGAAACCTCATACTCGTCCTTTCACTGCCTGTGCGCCTTCTCTCATGCCCATGACTTTCCGCCCATAGAGGGAGCTGCGACGGCTAAGCATCTTGACGCACTCCCACTGGGTGACCCACAGCACCCGCCTGCTCACCTGCTCACCGCTCATGGGACTCATTCATGCATGCTTGTACACCCCGTCCCATCCACCGTTCTTCAATCCACAGAGGGAGTTACGGCGGCTGAGCATTCTCGCGCACTCCCACTGGGTGACCCACAGCACTCAACTGCTCGCCTCGGCTTTCCGCCGCAATCTCATGCGCGACCCAGCTCTCACCACCGTCACTCCCCTCAAGGTACACGATTTGTTCATTCAAGTAAATCTTTCTATCTTCCCTCGAGTACGCGCTTCTGTGGAACCATTGTGCACTCTGCAGCATTGGGTGAACCCTTACCCACAGACTCCCCTCACTCTGCAATCTCATGCGCGACCCAGCTCTCACCACCGTCACTCCCCTCAAGGTGAGGGTTTTTCTTTTTAAGATTGAGATGTGTGCGGCTGGGTGCAGTTGCCTTCTCGCCTCGGCTTTCCGCCGCAATCTCATGCACGACCCAGCTCTCACCACCGCTACTCCCCTCAAGGTACAGTTTTCGTTTGTTCATTGTTTTCCCTCTCTCTTGGAGGTACTCGATTCTGTGGAACCTTAACCATGGTGCACCGTGCAGCAGTGGGTGAACGTTACCCACAGCCACTCCTCTCTCCACAATCTCATGCACGACCCAGCTCTCACCACCGCTACTCCCCTTAAGGTAACGGCCTCTTTACCGACACGAGAACCCTCCCTCACATGGGCTGCATTCGCTTGCTCGCCTCGGCTTTTCGCTACAACTCATGTGAAACGATCCAGCACTCAAGGCACGGGACGGGACTCGTTCGTTCAAGTATGGGTTTCCTGCGTTATTCAACGCAAGTCCTTCTATGCCCTCATTCCCTTCCTCCCGCACAGGTCGATCTGTGCAGTGCAGATACTGGAAAAGAGCGAGGCGAAGGTGCTGGAGGGGGCAAGTTTGGCCTGCCTATCTGCTGATTTGTTCCCTCCCACACATGCCCTTTTTACTCCCCGCCCTTCCCCTGTTTCTCCCTGCCTAAACTTGCCTCTCTTGCAGGGCTGGGAGGAGACGGTGGTACAGCAGGAGGGGGAGGAGGGCGAGGCCAAGGTGGAGATGCGGATGACTCTCCCGGCCTGCCCTTCGGTTTTCCGACACAAACCATTGCATCCTTGGTACTCCTTGCACCTTGTTTCCCCCCAATGTCCTGCACCCCTCCACCTTTTCTCTCCCCCACAGGGCTGGGAGGAGACGGTGGTACAGCAGGAGGGGGAGGAGGGAGAGGCCAAGGTGGAGATGCGAATGACCCTCCCGGCCTGCCCATCCGCCTGTCCCTCACCCATTTCCCACTTAATTCTTGGTTCTCCTTGCACGCTGTTTGCCCTCAATCCCTCCCCCACAGGGCTGGGAGGAGACAGTGGTACAGCAGGAGGGGGAGGAGGGAGAGGCCAAGGTGGAGATGCGAATGACCCTCCCGGCCTCCCCCTCGCCCTACGTGGCATCGCTGCTCTTTGCTACCTCAGCTGATGTGCACCGTGTGGGCTGCCACTCCCTCGACCGCCTGGTTCTCCGCCTGTTCGCCTGGGAGCTCTCAGAGCAGGTGAGATCAACACCAACCAAGCGCCTGTTTTGGGTGCTCATCTGCTCTCTGCTGCATCGGCCGATGTTCACCGCGTGGGCTGTCACTCCCTCGACCGGCTCGTTCTCCGCCTGTTTGCCCGGGAGCTCTCAGAGCAGGTGGGTGATGGGTGTGTGGGTGGTGAATGGGTGGTGAATGGGTGGTGAATGGGTGGTGAATGGGTGGTGAATGGGTGGTGAGTGGGTGGTGAATGGGTGGTGAATGGGTGGTGAATGGGTGGTGAATGGGTGGTGAATGGGTGGTGAATGGGTGGTGAATGGGTGGTGAATGGGTGGTGAGTGGGTGGTGAGTGGGTGGTGAATGGGTGGTGAATGGGTGGTGAATGGGTGGTGAATGGGTGGTGAATGGGTGGTGAATGGGTGGTGAATGGGTGGTGAATGGGTGGTGAATGGGTGGTGAATGGGTGGTGAATGGGTGGTGAATGGGTGGTGAGTGGGTGGTGAGTGGGTGGTGAATGGGTGGTGAATGGGTGGTGAATGGGTGGTGAATGGGTGGTGAATGGGTGGTGAATGGGTGGTGAATGGGTGGTGAATGGGTGGTGAATGGGTGGTGAATGGGTGGTGAATGGGTGGTGAATGGGTGGTGAATGGGTGGTGAATGGGTGGTGAATGGGTGGTGAATGGGTGGTGAATGGGTGGTGAATGGGTGGTGAATGGGTGGTGAATGGGTGGTGATTGGGTGGTGAATGGGTGGTGAATGGGTGGTGAATGGGTGGTGTGGCAAGGTGGAAATGCGAATGACCCTCCCAGCCTGCTCTTCGCCCTATGTAGCGTCTCTTCTCTTTGCCGCCTCAGCCGATGTGCACCGTGTGGGCTGTCACTCCCTCGACGGCGAGCATCAGAAAAATGGGAGTGACAGCCCACACGGTGGACATCGGCCGCAGCTGCTCTTTGACCTGCTTTTGAGGCGCCTCAAAAGACGGCGAGCATCAGAGAAGGGAGTGCTGCAGGTCAAAGAGCCCCCTTTTTTTTTATGCTCTTTGACCTGCGCGTGGTCTCAGACGTGCTCCCAGCACCACCTCCTGAATCTTACTCACACTCAATCCCTCCTCTTTGCCCGTCGCTCCCAGGTCCTGGGTGCGTACGAGGCTCTGGCCAGCGCTAAACGCGCATCAGAGAAGGGAGTGCTGCAGCTGCTCTTTGATGCTCGCCTGCTGTCAGACGTGCTCTCAGGAGGGGCGGAGCTGCCTCTTGACGCACTCACTCCCCTCCCTTCCTTCCTCATGCCCATCCTTTCAGGTTCCGTCAGCCTATGAGGCTCTGGCCAGCACTAAACGCGCATCAGAGAAAGGAGTGCTGCAGCTGCTCTTCGACGCTCGCCTGCTGTCAGACGTGCTCTCAGCTTTTGAATGCAAGTCCCTCACTTCCTTCCTCATGCCGCTTCCCCCTCCCAGGTCCTGGATGCCTATGAATCTGTTGCAAGTGCTAAACGCGCATCAGAGAAGGGAGTGCTGCAGCTGCTCTTTGATGCTCGCCTGCTGTCAGACGTGCTCTCAGGAGGGGCTGAGCTGCCTCTAGACGCACTCAGAGCGGGAGCAGCAGCAGCAGCAGGAGGGGGGACAGGGGCAGGCGGGGTTGCAGGACCAGGGGCAGCGACAGGAGGAGTGGCTCTAGCAAGGACGGGTTCAGCGGGGGCAGGGGCGGGGGAGGGGAGCATTGGTGCGTCGGTGGCAGCGAGGAAAAAGCGAGTGGCAGCGCTGCTGGAGAAGCTGCAGGAAGAGCTGGACCCCATCGACAGAGCCGCGTGAGTTGCAGTTGTTCCCAACTTTCTACCAATTCTCTACCAAATCTCTTCGCACGTATTGAGAGAACTTGCCAGGCAGGCTGGAAGAAGCGAGTGGCAGCGCTGCTAGAGAAGCTGCAAGAAGAGCTCGACCCCATCGACAGAGCAGCGTGAGTCTTCCAAAGACTTTTGAGTCGAGTCAATAGTTACAGGGGCAGGGGCGGGTGCAGCGTAGTGGCAGGGGCAGGGGCAGGGGCAGGGGCAGGGGCAGGGGCAGGGGGGGGGAGCATTGGTGCATCGGTGGCAGGCTGGAAGAAGCGAGTGGCAGCGCTGCTGGAGAAGCTGCAAGAAGAGCTCGACCCCATCGACAGAGCCGCGTGATTTTTCCAAAGACTTTTGAGTTGAGTCAATGGTCACGGGGCAGGGGCAGGGGCAGGGGCAGGGGCAGGGGCAGGGGCAGGGGCGGAGGCAGGGGCAGGGGCAGGGGCGGGGGCAGGGGCAGGGGCAGGGGCGGGGGCAGGGGCAGGGGCAGGGGTGGGGCAGGGGCAGGGAGCATTGGTGCGTCGGTGGCAGCAAGAAAAAAGCGAGTAGCCGCGCTGCTGAAGAAGATTCAAGAAGAGCTGGACCCTATCGACAGAGCCGCGTGAGTTGCAGTTATTCTCGTTTCTCTTCGCTCGTGATGATGAGAACTTGCCAGGAAGGCTGGAAGAAACGAGTGGCAGCACTGCTGGAGAAGCTGCAGGAAGAACTGGACCCCATCGACAGAGCCGCGTGAGTTGCACTTGATGGAACAGCATACCCCATGCCTCATGCTTCCCTGATTGAATGAACGCTGCTGGGGAAGCTGCTGGAGAAGCTGCAGGAAGAAGTGGACCTCATCGACAGAGCCGCGTGAGTGTTGCTATGTCCACCCCCCAAATAGCACGTACTGAGAACCTGCTAGGCTGGAAGAAACGAGTGGCCGCGCTGCTGGAGAAGCTTCAGGAGGAACTTGATCCCGTCGACAGAGCTGCGTGAGTCCCTCTGAACAACACAGCAGTCAGTCGCTTAGCAAAGCATACCAGGTTTGAACAGCACGATGAAGCAGAGCAGTGTGAGTCCCTCTGAGCAACACAGCAGTCGGTCGCTTAGCAAAGCATACCAGGTTTGAACAGCACGATGAAGCAGAGCAGTGTGAGTCCCTCTGAGCAACACAGCAGTCGGTCGCTTAGCAAAGCATACCAGGTTTGAACAGCACGATGAAGCAGAGCAGTGTGAGTCCCTCTGAGCAACACAGCAGTCGGTCGCTTAGCAAAGCATACCAGGTTTGAGCAGCACGATGAAGTCAACCTTTTGTTCCCATCTCTGCTCTCCCCTTCTCCTCTTCTTCCGCTCATCTCCCTCCCCCTTCCCTCTCCCCAGCTACCTGCCCTTCCTGTGGCAGAACCAGCAGCGCTTCTACCTGCGCTCAGCAGTGCTCTTCGGCCATCTCGCTCAGCTGACAAAGACTCCCCGCTTTTTCCCTCCCACTTTTTCTCCTCTCCTCTTCCCCCTCCCCCTTTCCCGTCACAACCCTCCCCACCCCCCCACCCCTCTTCTCCCCTCTCCCCCACTCAGCTACCTGCCTTTCCTGTGGCAGAACCAGCAGCGCTTTCACCTGCGCTCAGCAATGCTCTGTTCCATTGTCCCACCGCATCCTTCCATCCACCCACACAACCCTCCTCTTCCCTTTCCTCTCTCCCCTTCTCCCTTCCCCAGCTACCTGCCCTTCCTGTGGCAGAACCAGCAGCGCTTCTACCTGCGCTCAGCAGTGCTCTTCGGCCATCTCGCTCAGCTGAACCGCCTCTACACCGATGCTGCCCCGCGCCATCCCTACGCCACAGACGCCAACACACTCGATACTGCTCCCACTGTTCCGCGTTTCACCTTCCTGCCTATAAGGTAAAGTGTGGTATTCCTTCTAAGGTAACTTTCTTGTATGCCGCCTCTACACCGATGCTGCCCCGCGCCATCCCTACGCCAGACGCCAACACCCTAGATACTGCCCCAACCGTCCCGCGTTTCACCTTCCTGCCTATAAGGTAAAGTGTGGTGCTGTCCTCCTTCTAAGGTAACTCCCATCGCCTCTACACCGATGCTGCCCCGCGCCATCCCTACGCCACGGACGCCAACACCCTGGATACTGCTCCCACTGTTCCGCATTCCTCCTTCCTTCCGATCAGATAATTTATTGTTAGAATATCTCCTCTCTTGTAACCTGCATATATGCTATAGGATAGGCTAGAGATAAGCACCCAAACTTAGTTTGGGTGTACAAGCAGGGGTTACCCAATTTGTAGGTTGGAAACCCAACCTTGGTCCAATTATTGGACCCCAAGGGTTGGGATGGGTAGAATTATTGGTCCCCTCCAATAATGTTGGCCCAACTCCAACTTGGCCAACATTATTGGACCCCACCAATAATCTCCCAACCCAACTCCTTGGTTGGGGTCCAATAATGTTCACCTAGGCTAGTTTCCAACTCATCTCCTATGTAAACCCCCCATCCTTTCAATCAATCCATCAACTTCTCTTCTACCTTTTCTTCTCACATGGTATAGAGCTCTTAAAAATCCTAGGCCTACGCTCCTAGTTTTTTTTCAAAGGCCGTAGCAACCCCCGGCCTCCTCTCTCATTTCTCCGCGGCTATCTCGCCACCCTCCCCCTCTCCTCAAGCACTCCCTTCCTCGCAGCCCCACGGCCTCCCACGCCATCACGGCTCGCGGCCCCACCGCCGCTTCCGCGCTCGCCTTGTCGCGGTCCCGCCGACCGCCACCGCCCGCCCCATCCCGCGGCCTCGACGCCGCCTCCGCGCCAACGCCACTGCGGCCGCCGTCGCCGCCGCCGCTCCCTTCCGCGGCCTCGACGCCGCCTCCGCGCCTGCACTGCCGCGGCTTCGCCAGCCGCCGCCGCTCGCGCCGCTCCCTCCCGCGACCCCGTCGTCACTTCCGCGCCAGCACTCCCGCGGCTTCGCCAGCCGCCGCAGCTCGCGCCGCTCCCTCCCGCGGCCTTGTCGCCGCTTCCGCGCCTGCACTGCCGCGGCCTCGCCAGTGCCGCAGCTCGCGCCGCTCCCTCTCGCGGCCTCGTCGCCGCCTCCGCGCCTGCACTGCCGCGGCTTCGCCAGCCGCCGCCGCTCGCGCCGCTCCCTCCCGCGACCCCGTCGCCGCTTCCGCGCCGGCACTGCCGCGGCTTCGCCAACCGCCGCCGCCCGCGCCTCTCCGCGGCCTCGTCGCCGCCTCCGCGCCAGCCGCCGCGGCCTCGCCAACCGCCGCCCGCGCCTCTCCGCGGCCTCGTCGCCGCCTCCGCGCCAGCCGCCGCGGCCTCGCCAGCCGCCGCCCGTGCCTCTCCGCGGCCTCGTCGCCGCCTCCGCGCCAGCCGCCGCGGCCTCGCCAGCCGCCGCCCGCGCCTCTCCGCGGCCTCGTCGCCGCCTCCGCGCCAGCCGCCGCGGCCTCGCCAGCCGCCGCCCGCGCCTTCCCCTCCAGCGGCCTCGACGCCGCCTCCCCGCCAGCACCGCCGCGGCCTCGCCAGCCGCCGCCGTCCGCGCCCCTCCGCGGCTTCAACGCCGCCTCCGCGCCAACCGCCGCGGCCTCGCCAGCCGCTGCTGCCCGCGCCACTCCCCCCCCCCCCCCCCCCCCCCCCCCCCCCCCCCCCCCCCCCCCCCCCCCCCCCCGCGGCCTCGTCACCGTTGCTCCTCCGTGACCACTGCGGGTCCACCTGCAGCCGTCCATCATGGCTACTCCTACACCCTCCCCCTCCCCACTTCCTCCCCCCTATTGATACGTCCTCCATTGATAAGCTCCAGCTCGCCGCGGACAAGTCCGCAGTCAACTGGCACTCCTTCGTCGGCAGCATCCGACGCGTTCTCTCCGACGCATGGGTTCCCCCCTACCGTGTCCTTGACGTCATCCTCCGCCGCCCCCATGCCCTCCCCCCCACCGAACCTCCCCACCCCGGCGAGACTCCTCCTCTTCCTCCTATTCCTGGCGACCCTCCTCGTGAACCCGATCTTCAGATCACCCCCGACCAAGCCACTGCGGACACTGATTTTATCCTACGCCGCCGTGAATACCTCATCCGCAAAGCCGAGTACGATGCTGCAGTTGAGGCCTATGATCAGGCGGTTGCTGGTCGCGACGCTCACCTCGAGGTCGTCGCCAAATACAAGGTCGACATGGCTGACTTCACCCCCAGACTCATCGCCTGGACAGCTGCTGACACCCGTGCCTGCACCGTTCTCCTTGGAGCTCTCCCTGACTCCCTCATGCGTCGCTTCCAGGCTCGGGAACTCCGTGCCTCGGTCATCTGGGCAGAACTCCATGCCATGTTTGAGCGCCGCGACATCAGCTCCGTCGGCATCCTCTTCCAAGAGTATTTTTCCATCACCCTCGCCACCTGTGACGGAGCAGTCGACTACGTCGGACGCATGCGCGAGGTAGCTGATCGCCTCGAAGCCCGCCAGGCCGGCCTCTCCGAACCTCTTCAAATCCACCGCCTCCTCTTTAACCTCACCCCAGACTACGAATCCCGCCTCCACGCCTTTACCGAAGCCAATCCCATGGCCGGTCTCGCCTCCGTTGAACAGTGGATTATCGACACCGAAGTTAAACTCCGTACACCCATCGTCAACCTCGCCTCCTCCCAACCCACCTCCTCCTCCCTCAACGCTACCCAGCCTCGCAAGCAGGGAAAGAACAACGGCAAAGGAGGAGGTGGGGGCAAGGGAGGTGGTGGTTCGGGAAGCAGCAACAACCGTGGTGGCACCACTGGGGATGAGCACGGCACCACCACTTCGGGTGGACCCACTGCAAGTCGCGGGAGTCGCCCTGGCACGCTTCCTCCCTGCACCTATGTCCGCCGCTATGGTCCTCGGGCTGGAACTCCCTGCGGACAGACCAACCATCCCCCTGGCACGTGCTTCAAGGCTCTCGACGATGCCTGGTACGCGCGGGGTAACGTTGGCACTCCTCCAAAGTGGGGCAACATCTCCCCACGCCCCTCCCCCACCGATATCCAAACCAATCCAGCCTACCTCCCAGCCCACCTCCGCCTCCTTGCTCCCCCCACACCCTTCCTCAACCTCCAGCAGCAGCACCTCCAGCAGCAGCAGCAGCAGCAGCAGCAGCAGCAGTTACAGCAGCTGTTTCACCCTCAGCCGCAGCAGCAGCAGCAGCCACAGCCGCCGCAGCACCCATGGGGGTCAGGACCCCAGCCACAGTGGGGACCCAGCCCTCCTCCCTGGCCGCAGCAGCAGTTGAACTTTGGCACAGCAGCCATGGCCGCTCAAGCCTCACCTGCCCCCCTTTGGGGTGCCCCACCCCCCCCCAGTAGCACTGCCACCCCTCTCACTCACGAGAGCTTCCTTGGCAACATAGCTATTTCGCCCTCTCTTCCTTCCATGTACCCATCCAACATTAATGAAACCACTTTCCAGTACTCAGTGTCTTCCTCCTCCTCCTCACCCACTCTGGACTTTGTCCTTGACAGTGGGGCCACTGAGACCGCCCTCAAAGACGCTGGTACACTCACACCCCTCTCCCCTCCCACTCAAGTTCACGGTGCTGACAGCAGCTTCACCATCCCATGCACACACCTCTCCACTCTCCCCTGTTCACTCTTCCCCTCTGGCAAGGTAACTGGTCTCCACATCCCCACTCTCCGAAACAACCTCCTCTCCCACCGTGAAATCCAAGGTGCAGGTATCACTGCCGTCTATCCTGGTAATGCCACCTACTGTGACCTTTACCACACTGCCTCCGGCCGCTTCCTCCTCCGCATACCCCTCTGCCCTCGCACTCGCCTCTACACTCTCCGCACTCCGTGGCCATCCTCCTGCCATGTTACCACTCGTGCGGGTACCTCCACCAGCCCTCCCCATCTCCCTCCCTCTCCTCCCACTCCGTCTCCTCCCCACTCCTCCATCCCTTCCTCACTCATTCCAATCCCCTCCACCTCCGACCATCTCTCCCACCCCGCTGTTCTCCTACATCACCGACTCGGCCATCCGAATTTTGCCGCTCTCCGCACTGCCGTCACCTCACGACTTCTTCACAGCCTCCCTCCAACTCTTCCTCCCCTTCCTTCCTCCCCAGCCCCCCCATGCCCCTCCTGCATCCACGGCAAACTCAAACAATCTCCTCACCACAGCCACCCATCCTTCGCTCCTGCACCCATTGACCTTGTCCATATGGACCTCTGGGGGCCCTCTCCCACCCGCTCACGCCAAGGCCATCGCTACATGTTGGTTCTTGTTGACGATCACAGCCGCTACTCCTCCATTTTCCTCCTCCACACCAAAGACCAGGCGCCGACCATTATCATTAACTGGGCAGAGCAATGCCGCACCCACTTCAAACGTCCCATCGGCCGCCTCCACTCTGATGGGGGAGGCGAATTCCTCAACCGCACTCTCTCTCACTACTGCGCCACCCATGGCATCCAACAGACCCACACTCTTCCCCACTCCCCACAGCAGAACGGCGTTGCAGAAAGCCGCATTCGCGAAATCACTAAGATCGCCCGCTGTCTCCTTGCTCACGCCTCCACCCCTCCCTCTCTCTGGGGCTATGCCCTCCTCCATGCTGCCCTCCTCCTCAACCTTCACTCCCATCCCCAACACACTGCCGCTACCCCCACGGAGCTCTGGTCAGGAACCAAACCTGACGCTGCCGGTCTTCGTGTCTGGGGTTGCAAGGCATATGTGCTTATTCCTCCACCCGACCGCACCCAAGGCAAGCTCGCTCCTCGCGCCCTCGAGTGTGTCTACCTCGGACACAACCGCGACTCGCCTGGTTACCTCTTCCTTCACCCTCCCTCTGGTCGCCTCATCCGCAGCATTGACGTTGTGTTCGATGAGACCACCCCGTACTACTCCTCCCCACCACCAGACCCCCTCCCTCCTCCCGCACGTCCTCTCGCTTGGGCCGACACCGTCCTCCCTCCCCTCCTCCCTCCGGCACCTCTTCTCCCACCCCTCCCCACCCCGCTTCCGCCACCTTCATCCGCCGACGTCTACGATCCCACTGCTCCTGCCTCCCCCGCACACTCCACGGCTCCCCCTCCCCCCTCCCCTTCCCACTCCCCTCCTCATCCATCACAGCAGCAGCAGCAGCAGCAGCAGCAGCAGCAGCAACACCAGCAGCAGCAGCAGCAGCAGCAGCAGCAGGGGCAGCAGCAGCAGCTGCAGCAGCAGCAGCAACAGCAGCAGCAGCAGCAGCAACAGCAGCAGCAGCCGCAGCAGCAGCAAGGGCAGCACCAGCAGCGGCAGCAGCAGCAGCCGCAGCAGCCACAACAGCAACAGCAGCCGCAGCAGCAGCAGCAGCAGGGGCAGCAGCCGCAGCAGCAGCAGGGGTTCCAGCAGCACCAGCAGCAGCAGCGGCGCAGGGCAATTGCCCGCTCCTCACCCTTCCTCCTCCCTCGCATGCACACCCGCTCCCTTGACCCCATCCTTGGTGCACCGTCTCCTCCCTCCCTCAACCAACTGGAGGACTCCCATGAGGAGTTCACCATGGTCCGGCGCCACACTCCCTCTCTCACAGTACTTTCCCCTGACCTCCTCGGCGCCCTACTCCTTAGCGCGATCCCCGCTCCCACCATCTTCGTCCCCTCCACTTTCCAAGAGGCTATCACCTGCCCTGACGCCGATAAGTGGATAGCCGCCATCTTTCAGGAATGTGAAGCATTCATCCACAATAACTCCTTCATTGACGTTCCCCTCCCTCCTGACGCCAACCTGGTTGAGGGCAAGTGGATCTTTCGAGTCAAGCAGCTGCCGGGAGAAGAACCAGTCTACAAAGCCCGCTACGTTGCCAAGGGGTTCACCCAGACCTGGGCTGAGGACTACTGGTTCACGTTCGCCCCCACCGTCAAGCAGGCCACCCTACGCACCCTTCTTGACATCGGTGCAAGAGACGACATGGAGATTGACTCCATGGACGTCTCCAACGCTTTCCTGCAAGGTGAACTGCACGAACGCATCTTTCTCCGCCGACCTCCCGGGTTCCATGCTAAGTTCCCCGACAACACCGTCTGGCAGCTGAAGCGACCGGTCTATGGCCTGAAGCAGGCACCACGAGAATGGCATGCGAAGCTATCTGCTACTCTCCAGTCCCTTGGCTTCTCCCCCTCCCACTCCGACGCCAGCCTCTTCATCCGCTCTTCCCCCAGTCGCTTTTTCATCTCGGTCTACGTTGACGACATGATCCTGCTGGCGGATTCCAGGGCCGACATGGACCAGATGAAGCGGTCACTTCAGGAACGACTCAAGTGCAAGGACCTTGGTCCCCTCCAGAACTACCTCGGCATGGCTATCACCCGTGATCGATCCGCCCGCACCATCACTCTCTCCCAGTCCCACTACATCGGCCAGGTCCTGGAGAGGTTTGAGATGGCGCAGGCCAAACCAGTCTCCACCCCCCTCCCCTTCGGTCACCAACTTGCGCCACCCACCTCCCCCTCCTCCTCCTCCCGGCCCTACGCCGAGCTCGTTGGGTCGCTGATGTACGCGATGATGTGCACCCGCCCCGACCTCGCCTACCCTGTCAGCGTCCTTGCTCGGTTCGTCGGCTCTGGCCGTCACACTGAGGAACACTGGGCTGCCGCCAAGCGGGTCCTTCGCTATCTCTGCGGCACCAAGGATCACGCTCTCACACTGGGTGGATCCTCCCCTCCCCTTCTCTCGGGCTTCAGTGACTCCTCCTGGGCAGACAATCAGCCAGACCGCCGCTCCTCCCAAGGCTATGGCTTTACCCTCGGCAGCGGACTTATCAGCTGGCGTTCCACCCGCTCCTCCGCCATCGCTCTCTCTTCCTGCGAAGCTGAGCTCTATGCGGGCACCATGGCCGCTCAAGAGTCCCGCTGGCTCTGCTTTCTTCTGGCAGAGCTTGGTGCCCCCCAGCGCTGTCCCACGCTCTGGTGTGACAACGCCAGCACCATCCACCTCACCCAGGATCCAGTCTTTCATGGTCGCTCCAAGCATATCGAGCTCCGTTATTTCTTCATCCGCGACCTCGTCCGACAGAATCTTATCGCCGTCCGCAAGATCGCCACTGAAGCCAATTTGGCGGATATCTTCACCAAAGCACTTCTTCGCCCCGCGCACTCTGCTCTCCTCCGCCTCATTGGCCTCGCTCCTCCAGGAGCGCCTTGATTCAGGGGTTGCTGCTCTCCAGCCTTTCCGCATCTCTGCAGGTTAAGGGGTTGTGTTAGAATATGTTCTCTCTTGTAACCTGCATATATGCTATAGGATAGGCTAGAGATAAGCACCCAAACTTAGTTTGGGTGTACAAGCAGGGGTTACCCAATTTGTAGGTTGGAAACCCAACCTTGGTCCAATTATTGGACCCCAAGGGTTGGGATGGGTAGATTTTTTGGTCCCCTCCAATAATGTTGGCCCAACTCCAACTTGGCCAACATTATTGGACCCCACCAATAATCTCCCAACCCAACTCCTTGGTTGGGGTCCAATAATGTTCACCTAGGCTAGTTTCCAACTCATCTCCTATGTAAACCCCCCATCCTTTCAATCAATCCATCAACTTCTCTTCTACCTTTTCTTCTCACATTTATAACATCCTACAAGGTGGCTTTCATCCTCCCTATAAGGTACCTCACATCCACCCTGAGAGAAAATTCTCCACTCAGAGTTCTTTAACCTTCTGACCCAGCCATCATCACCAGCTGATACTGATTCTGCATCCCACCCTTTCTGCTTCTTTCTCGCTTCCCCACCCCATCCTTCCCTTTTCCTCCCCCTCTTTTTATTCCACCTCTTCCCGCTATCTCCCCTCTTCCCTCAGCTCGCCTCTTCTGGCCAATGGCAGGCTGGCACCTGGCAAAAAGCAGATTTTTTGGCGCCCCAAAAGTCCCTTGTTCCCCTCCACCCCCTTCTTCCCCCAGCTCGCCTCTTCTGGCCAATGGCGGGCTGGCACCTGGCGGCACAAATTCTTCTTCAAAAACCCTTTCCCTTTCTTCCCCCTTTCTATTCCCCCCCGTCTTCCCCCAGCTCGCCGCTTCTGGCCAATGACGGGCTGGCACCTGGCGGTAAACCCCGCCGTCCATCCACCTTTGGAGACGTCTCGCTATCCGTTTCTGGTTCCAGCAGCAGCAGTGGCGCTCCAGTTTCCCGTGTGCCTAGTGGGGCAGGTGGAGGGGCGGTTGCAGCAGCAGGAAGTGGTGGTGGGTTTGGAGGGGTGGGAAGCGGTGCGTGGGGAGAGGATGGGGCTCTTGGAGGAGCTTTCTCGTTTGCGGATTCAACAGGGCTTTCTGCTACACCCATTTTCAAGTCCCTTATGGGTCAGGTAACTAACCACTGCACATTCTCCCCGTTTGTCTTTTGAGTCGCCTCAAAACTCTCTTCCTCTCATTCCCTTTAACGTGTAAACACTGTTAACACTGTATCATTGTAAGCACTGTATCACTGTATTACGTGTCGCTTAATGATCAGGTAAACACTGTAAGCTGGTCACTACCTCTGAGAGAAAGTTTGTGCATCTCTCTTTTCCAGGCACTCTGTGTGGTCTGTGTGTTCTCTGTGTGGTCACACCTCAGGTTGCGCTCGTCAACCCTCTCTATACTCCCGGTCAACTGCAGGTCAAGCTGGGGTCGATCCTCGGCGACGGAAGTCAAGTGACTTGCAGCATTTCCAATCCCTTGCTTTTCCCCTCTATTCCACACAAACCTGGGGTTACACTCCTCCTCCGCCCCCTCTCTATTCCCTCCTGAGTGCAGGTCAAACTGGGGTTGATCCTCGGCGACGGAAGTCAATTGACTTGCAGCGTTCCCAATCCCTTGCTTTTCCCTTCTATTCCACACAAACCTCGGGTTACACTCCTCCACCCCCTCTCTATTCCCACCGGAGTGCAGGTCAAGCTGGGGTCGATCCTCGGCGACGGAAGTCAAGTCACGCGCAACATTTCCAATCTACAGGAAATGTTCAACCAGCCGTCGCAGGCAGCCGGGCTGTTCTCGTCGCTTACAAGTGCCGCTGCAGGCAGCTCTTCTCGCCTTCAAGAGTTGTTTTAAAACACAAACAGTACCAAACCAAGATACCAACACCAGTGATTGCTGCAGGTAGCTAAATCATTCTCATCGCTCACAAGTGCATCTGCTGGCAGCTCCTCTTGCCTCCAGGAGTTGTTTTGAGCACAGGAACTGTACAGTATGCCGTATGTGGAAGTGCGAATACATGATTGTGTTCCAGTTCCTAGCTAGCCAATGCAGGCTCCGGGACTGAAGGCTTCATTTCCGAGTGCGGTTGTCCCGTCAAACGGCAGGAGCTGTTTTGATCCGTCAACAGAACAAAGCAAACACCCTATAAATGTGCAATTGAGTGCTCTGAGTAGGACTGTTCGTGCATGCATTTTTCCGCAAGCGATGAGGAAGAGTGTGAGTGATCTCGCAGCTGGCAAATTTCTGGTGCTGAAGCATACCGTACGATGCGTATGTCAACAAGATATTGTATCAGCATGTCAGAATCCCAGCCACTAACCACTGGGATAAAAGGGCTTGTTTGTGTAGCGGGTGAGTGCGCCCATAACCCCCCAGGCCAACGTGCCTGTAACCCTTCCCTAGGATCAATCGGGGATCTCCAGTGGACCTCTGACACCCCCCCGCACTGGGATGCCCGAAGTGCACACACCGGGAATCGAACCCGAGACCTTCGCTCTGATACCATGTCAGAATCCCAGCCACTAACCACTGGGATAAAAGGGCTTGTTTGTGTAGCGGGTGAGTGCGCCCATAACCCCCCAGGCCAACGTGCCTGTAACCCTTCCCTAGGATCAATCGGGGATCTCCAGTGGACCTCTGACACAGCACTGCGCGTCTCCTTCATGAACGTCATCACTTTTCTTCCTATTATTTTGCACGTGCAAGGGCGATGAGTCAGAGCGAGTTTGACTGTCATTCGTATTTGATTTATCTGTACCTTCCACGTTTTGTTTTCTTTAGTAGGCACGTTCCAATGTCCTTCTATTCTCCATTTGGATAGACGCCATGGAAGTAAATAGTACAATATTACCAATCTTGGTTCTCTTAGCGAGTCATAAGGAACTTTTGAACAGCCAACCAGCTATCGGGATATTCGAAAGGTCTCTGCGCCACCTCAGCTCTATCCTTAGCATATCTGACATGGAAACTAGCTGGCAGAGATGGCGGAGCCCAGTGCCCAGTGTTTTTCAGAACGCCTTGAAGAAGGCAATTTTTCTGGCAGGTGTTCGTCCTTCTGTTTTGCACTCCTGCCCGTGTCTTATGTGGCAATGCGTTGCGAAAGGCAGCCACCACAGCTGGTCAGCCCCGAAAGGAGATGCTCGTGTACGTGGCAAACACTAAATTTCCCCGAGCCACTCATCCAACCACGGATATGGTCGGATGAGGGTGACCGTTTGCCACGCGGCAGGGCATCAGTATGCAACCTCAGCAACACTGGTCTCGCTTTTGCCTCCACTTCGCGGTTGTGTCACAAGCGTGTTCGCAGCCAGTCAGAACAGACCACCTGCCGGATTCCGTCTCTCGCCGTCAGCTCAGTCAGGCTTCTCCGTCACCCGAGGAGAAATCTCGAAGGCTGCTGTGCAGCTGGTGCTTCCTCCAATTCCTAGGGATCTCCGCCAGCAACAAAAGGAAAGCTGTTCCTTGGAATTGCTAACTACTCTCCAGGACAATTGAGAAGTCTAACGAGATCAGAACGCTGCTGATCTCTTGTCCTGTCGCCTAGACCGGTTTATTCGCCTTCTCTTATCTCTCAGAACTCCGCTACCATGGAGGCTGTGAGGTGCAATATCGTGCAGGCTGCTTCAGTGGCTCCCGCCCTCCGTGGCGCGGAGACCAAGGCTACCCTGTCCTCCGCTAAGGCTCCCCTTGGCCTGTACTCTGGCCTGAGGAAGACCACCTCGGCCAAGGCTTCCAAGAAGAGCCGTGCTGCAGTGAAGGCTCAGGCTGCCAAGGTCACGGCTTCTACTGCTGTCGAGGTCGTTGAGAAGACTGAGGCCGCTCTCCTTGAGAAGGTACGTTAGACCTCGCAGCCGACAAGCAATCTCCCCTGACGTACATCATCTCCACCATCGCTGATTGTAATGTGTTTTGTTGGTATGTTAATTATTTTTCTTGTTCCTTCCTGCACATTTTGTCAATCAAAATCTGCTTCGCGTGCAGGCCATCAACGCTATCAGGTTCCTCGCCATCGATGCCGTCGAGAAGGCGAATTCCGGTCACCCCGGTCTTCCCATGGGCTGCGCTCCCATGGCGTTCGTGCTCTTCGATGAGTTCATGAAGTTCAACCCCAAGGACCCTTACTTCGTCAACCGCGATCGCTTCGTGCTCTCTGCTGGTCACGGATGCATGCTCCAGTATGCTCTGCTTCACCTTTTCGGCTACGACAGCGTTCCGGTACGATGTTGCCGTAATATGCTGGATTTTTTGCATTTTGTTCGTTTTTTATTTCATGATAGTATGGAGTTTATTATCTGACACTCGTCTTAGCTCGTAATGCAGCTTGAGGAGATTAAGAACTTCCGTCAGTGGGGAAGCAAGGCCCCTGGCCACCCCGAGCACTTCATCACCCCCGGTGTTGAGGTGACCACGGGTCCTCTCGGCCAAGGTATTGCCAACGCTGTCGGTCTGGCTCTTGCGGAGAAGCACCTTGCTGCTCGCTTCAACAAGCCTGGGTTCGACCTCATCGACCACTACACGTGAGTACTTGAACCAGTCTTCACCACTCGCGGTTAACCCGCAATTTTTTGTTTTCCGCTAACCCTGTACCAACTGTAGTTAACACAATGCACAATCTTGATTTCATTGTCTCTTATTCCTGAACAGCTATGTTATTCTCGGAGACGGATGCAACATGGAGGGTATCTCCACCGAGGCTGCTTCCCTCGCCGGTCACTGGGGTCTGGGCAAGCTCATCGCTCTGTACGACGACAACCATATCTCCATCGATGGCAACACCGAGATTGCATTCACTGAGGACGTGAGCGCGCGTTTCGACGCTCTCGGCTGGCACACAATCTGGGTGAAGGACGGCAACACCGACCTGGACGCCCTTCGCGCGGCCATTGAGGAGGCCAAGTCCGTTAAGGACAAGCCCACCATGATCAAGGTAATACATAAACTTCAACCCAAGGACATTTACGGCGGAATTAACTAAATTGGGAACTTTTGGAAATGTTCTGTATTTATTGAACCCAAACACTGCGGCGTAGTGCTGTTTATGCTTCGTAATGGTGCTTTTGCTCAGTACTAACTAATTGCTCTTACCTTTTATCGTTTCCAGATCACCACCACCATCGGCTTCGGTTCCCCCAACAAGGCCAACTCGTACGCCGTTCACGGTGCTGCTCTTGGTGCCAGCGAGGTCGCTGCTACCAGGGAGAACCTCAACTGGCCGTATGCGCCGTTCGAAGTCCCTGAGGAGGTCTATGCGTAAGTACATCTCACTCGGAGTTACTATATTGTGTCCTTTTTTATGCCTATGTTGGCTCGGTATGTTTTCTCTCGCTCATTTCTCTCTGTTCGTAAACCCTTCTGTTGTTCAACAGGCACACCCGCAGAAAGATTGAGGAGGGTGCCAAGTTGGAGGCTGATTGGAACGCTCTTCTGGCCAAGTACGAGAAGGAGTACCCCAAGGAGGCTGCCGAGTTCAAGCAGCTCATCAGCCTCGAGCTCCCAGAGGGATGGGAGAAGGCCCTTCCGGTGCGTACTGCACATGTGAAGTGCTGCGCATTGCTGAAATATGACTCTGAAGCCGGTTTCGTGCCAAATGTATCACGCTCACATTTTCGCTTTGTTTTTATGTATTGTTCCCTCCTGGCAGACCTACACCCCTGACATGCCTGGGGATGCTACCCGCAACCTGTCCCAAGTGATGCTGAACGCTCTGGCTGACGTTCTCCCCGGCCTTGTTGGTGGCTCCGCCGATCTGGCCTCCTCCAACATGACCCTGCTGAAGAAGCACGGCAACTTCCAGAAGGACACCCCTGCTGAGAGGAACATCCGCTTCGGTGTGCGCGAGCACGCCATGGGAGCCATCGCCAACGGTATCCAGCTGCACCACACCGGCCTCATCCCCTACGTCGCCACCTTCTTCATCTTCTCTGACTACATGCGCAATGCCATCCGCATCTCCGCGCTCGGCGAGACTGGTGTCATCCAGGTCATGACCCACGACTCCATTGGTCTTGGAGAGGACGGCCCCACTCACCAGGTAAGCTTGTGCTTAAGATGTTTGAACGCATCACAACAAGGTTTTTGTTTTGAGCTCCAAGCTTTTCTGCATGTTGATAGTTTCAAGCATACGGGATGTACAATTACCTGTCCAGAGCTAATCACCAGAAAAATGTGATCCTGTAAGCCTTGTGAAAGGGGGTTCGTTGTCAGGTCATGAGCTAATGTGCTCCATATTTCCATCCCCGTGCAGCCTATTGAGCACCTGGCGTCCTTCCGCGCCATGCCCAACCTGCTGATGATGAGGCCTGCTGACGGTAACGAGACTGCGGGAGCATACAAGGTGGCTGTGCAGAACAGGAAGAGGCCGACTGTGCTCGCCCTCTCCCGCCAAAAGCTGCCCAACCTTGCTGGCACCTCCATTGAGGGCACAGAGAAGGGTGGATACATCATCAGGTAAGCAACTGTCATATCATGCTTGTCCTTCCCATGTGCTCAACCTGTACCATTTCTTTGCATTGTGTGCGCTTGTCAACATTCCTTAACTCAACCTGCTGTTTTCCCCTTGACCCTATCATTGTCCTTTCCCCAGCGACAACTCCACTGGCAAGCCTGATGTGATCCTCATGGCCACTGGCTCTGAGCTCGAGATGGCGGAGAAGGCTGCTAAGATCCTCAGGGACGAGGGCAAGGGCGTGCGCGTTGTCTCCATGGTTTGCTGGGAGCTCTTCGAGGAGCAGCCCGAGGAGTACAGGAAGTCTGTCCTCCCTGATGACGTGCGTGCTCGTGTCTCTGTTGAGGCTGGCTCCACCCTCGGCTGGCACAAGTATGTGGGCGACAAGGGCAAGACCATTGGTGTTGACGAGTTTGGTGCGTCTGCCCCGGCCAACATCCTGTATGAGAAGTATGGCATCACTGTCGATGCTGTGGTTGATGCTGCCAAGGCTGCCATGGCCTAAAACAGCTGATTCGGTTGGCATAGGATCTTGAGCACTTTTTGTACTTGGGGCTTTCTTGTTTTGCTTGAACTACATTATTTCCAAATACTGCAAAAAATAGTGTTTACACCAAGAACTAGTTTCGAAACGGGCCTCAGTTTTTCTGTGATGGGAGACATAGAGTTGCTGGTAATGTCTCTGCAGATAAAATACGCACCCTTGGCAACTTATATGTAAAATGTAACAGTGATGCAGTTGTTCTCGATATGTGCCAACCCGTTACAGGAAGCTCTGTTGTGTTGCCATTGAAGTGTAACTTCACATATACTGTAAAGCTATTCCGCATGGAAAGGTCATTTCACCAAGACTATTCCACGGCTTCTGAACAGCCTGACGTGAGTGAAAGGAAAGGTTTGCCTTATATTGTTGTTACAGTGTTACTTGATTTGGAAGGTACACATGCAGCATCTACCTACCTGCCTAGAGGAACATTGCTAGAAACCCATAGTGGTTTTTGTGCTGGAGCAACCAGCCCACTCTATGGCCCGGGCTTGGAAAAAATTAAGGCTACGGCAAGTGTACGTCCCCATGGCAACACGCATGGGCGCTGCTGGCCTAAGCCGAGGTGCTGGGTCAGACATGAGGGATTATGAATAGCTTGAGGACTCCTCATCAATGGACAGTCTGACTGGACTGTCAGGAGGGATGAGTTGATGAGATCCCAATTGGGGAACTGGGAGTCGGCCTTCAAGCTATTGCAGCTTGAAAGCTAGCTGGCTGCATAGAAGCTGAGGAAGGATAGTATCGTCGGGAAAGCGAACGCGGCACATCCACACCCAATCGCGCTGCCACGTCTGCAAACGAGCTGACATCCTTTTTCCACAGCAAAGCGCCTCCGCACCCAGCCGCATTCGCTCCGCCAATGTCGTTCTTCCAGCTGTCGCCCACGTGGACGACTTCCTCTGGCCGGACATTGAGCATATCACACGCTGCGTGGAAAATTTTGCCGGATGGCTTTTCTGCTCGCACTTCTGCTGAAACCGCGACCGCATCGAAACAGTTCAAGCATCCCAGGGATTGGAGAACGGATCGGAGCCGCGAGTCGAAGTTTGAAACCACGGCGACTTTGATTCCCGCCTGGCGAATAGCAGAGAAGGCTTCGTGCGCGTGGGGGTCGGACAATCGCCACGCGGATTGTGTTGCGTAGTAACCGTGTAACTCCTCAGCGTAACTGGGATTGGAGCAACCAGTTGACTCCGATATAACGTGATGCCAGAACGGCAAGGCCTCTCCTTCGTATCGAAGCGCCCCGCGCCACGGTTTACTGTACGCCATTCGATACCGAGGCAGAATCTCTTCCGCTGATAACGACACGCCGTACTTTTGACCCACGGCTTCGTACACCTTATGCTCCGGCTCCGATGTCTCGATAAGAGTCCCCATCGCGTCGACGAGCAACGCACGCGGCTGGAAGGCCTTCGGCTTACGCTGATAGAGCCATTCTTTCGGCCACATCGGCTGGTGCTGCCCCTCGGTCAAAGCAGCGGCGCAAAGCCCGTCCTCAGGCTGCTGAAGCTGCTGCGGGTCGGCCTGCATCTGCTGTTGTTGGCTTTCCTTAAAATGCACCGACCAGCACGGGACGGAAAGGGCCGACGGAGAAACTGCGGCGGCGGCGCTTCCAGAAACAGCGGGAAGATCTGCTACTGCCGGTGGCGGAGTGTTGGCGCCGCGTAGCCAGAAGCGTTGGTGCGGATTGAACGCGTCTTCCTGAAACGGGAGCGCGTCGGGAGGGTCTCCAATCAGAGGCGTAGGCGAGAGTGGTAAACGCGGCTGCGGTCGAATCGCGAGCTCTTGAATGAGCAGCTGATGCGGGCTGGCAGGAGGAGCCTGCATAGTAGCGATAGCAGAGGAGTTGCTATCATCGATGCTGTTTGTATCGGAGTTGTTTGGGCTTGTGACGATGGGGCGACTCCGAGAACCGCTGGTCTGGCTTTCAGATTGGCTACGTTTTGATGGACGCTCGCTCGACGCGTTTCGAGATAGTACGAGACTGGAGGCTGAGCGAAAGGCGCCGCAGGCGACAGCAGCCTGGGTTATCCGCGACGCGACAAGCGGAAGGAGTTTGTGAGCCACGACTCCCGCCATGGGTGACTGGTTCAGAAGGTTGAGGATAAACTGATCACAATACGAACAGAAAGCAGCAAGACAGCTAATTTCGTTTGGCGTCTGGCAAAAGACAGAGAGACAATGAGTGAGGAGACAGGATGACGTTGCTAGAATAAGCTGTGTTCTTGCGGGGAAAGGTGAACGCGATAGATGATGCTAATCAGTGATCGACGAATATGAATGGCTTCGGTCGTTATCGAGCTTTATCAAGCTGTTTTTATCTTACAAGCCCCGTCTAGTCACTCCACTCCACTCGCTCGTGTGGGAGATGGAAAGTGGTGGGATGGTTGGGAAACCCTATGCGACGACGACGAATTTGTTCTAGGCGGTTCGGGAAACATGAGGCATATGCTGCTGGCGAATGCGATGAAAAAATGTCTGGCTACGTGTATCCCGATTCTCGAGCCGCTCTCGAAGGAGGTGTGCGAGTCAGCCCAGCCGAATCGCTCCGCATTGATCGGCTCATCCCCATCACCTTACAGCGAGTCGTCATATCCTCGCGTCAGCACTTTTACTACGAGGCCTCGTCAGCACTTAGTCATAATTCTTGGTCAGGTGCATTTGACATTGCGTATAGCCAATCGCAGTTCAGATATCCACGTCGTCAGCTAGCACAGGTGGATGGATCTGACCAATTAGCGGCGGGGGGATGTCGCTGTCCGTGTCAGTTGAGGGTTGCTTTCGTGGCAACAGCACGTGGGAAGGCAAGAGAGTTGGGGACCACACCACAACAACCGAAACGACGCCCTCCAGGCGTGGCAACAGTGGGGGAGGCAAATGCGCACTCATCTAAGATTTTCACTTAGGCATACATGACAAGGGACGGATGCGGGGCTGGGTCTGACACTTACAAAATTGTGGTGGGTTTAGTCACTGCTCAAACGCGATCCCGCAACAGAAATGAAACCCCTCAGCAGCATGTCATCCAGGTCAGCGCGAGGGAACGCAACGGCTGCACCTGAGCCACCCACATGTCATCTGAAAGCACTGTTGACGGTTCCTTAGATCTCTGCTTTTGCTTGAGGGGACACTGCCAGCTGTGCAAGCAAGCGCACGCGCGTGGTGCAGCCGCCGCAATCGCCCTGCCGCTGGACAGCAGAGCACTGTTGCCGCTTCCAGGTGGGTTTGTCTCTAGACGTTATTGGCTGGACGTGCCTGGCTGGGCATCACTGTTGGGGAGGGGTGGCGTGGTGGGTTGTGCACGTCAGCCTTGTCAGGCTTGGCCCGCAAGACCACGGCGCTTTAGTTTGAATGAAAGATGTCTGCCTTGTACAAGAGACCTAAAAATGCACTAAAAAATGTTTTATACAATAAAAAATGAAATGCACTATTGAGCACACTCGGAAAACACACTTAATGGAAATCCACGAGACGAATTTGGTTATCTTGGTCTATTCTCCAGAATGGTGTACATTGAAGCTTGTATATTTGCTTCATGGTTGCGTAGTTTTGTATGGAAGCTTTCCACGGTAACACGTCATTCACGGTGTTTCTGACTCAGTGGTGGTTGTTTATCCCCATTGAGGCTCTGGGTCCAGCGGAGCATGACGTGTGCCGACGTTGGAAACCTGGCTCACGATGCGCGTTTGCGCCAGCACCAGTGCTCTGCGCCTCACATAGGAAATCTCGGAAACCTCGAACCGCATGTCCCGTTCTTTCCTCCACTCCACTCCCCACCCACAAAGCGGAAACTTTCTCCGTCAATCAGGAGCTTCAGCAGTGTCGACACTGACGGTCGGAGTACAACACGGTCGGACCCACTGTACTTGACGGCCGGACTTGTACTGTACTGTGCAGATGTTTGTGGTTTGTTTTATGAGAAGGTCAGGTGTCGGATTCAGATGTCGTACATCTCCCGAACGGGGGCGCCTTTCCAGTTGGGACTCGTCGCTTCCCGTTCCGACCCTCACCGGACATTGCATCACTCCCAGCATATCAAAACCGCCCTGTTTCGCCTAGCCGTTTCCCTGAAGGCCGCACCTAAACTGAAACAAGCAAGAAATTCTCGTTTCTGACGATGACTTTCCAATCGATCCTTCCTTCCAGCACGCAGCGTCATGCGCTTGTTCTGTTCGCAACTTCAAAACACAGGCGTAATCAGGAACACGCCCTAGTTAAGGCGTGTGCGCACCGACACCACTCAAGCTTTCATCCCTATTGGGTCAGTCGCACAAATTTGCGCACGAGTACGGCTGAATGCGGTGCTTTACGCTGCACAGCATTCAATATAGTATTCCATCATTTTGGGTGGGGTATTAGGAAAATACGGATTCTTGAGACACTCCCTTGGCTTCCGTCAACCATCGGTTTCTATTCGTCAGCCAAGTTCGCTCATCCATCATTCTCAGCTTTTCTTTCACCCACTAAGCTAACACTTGCCTTCATGCTTTACTGCGACATTAGGTGCTTCTTACTGATACAACCCACGCTTCTCGCGTGTCTCTGCGAGCTTGCTCCTTTCCAGTTCCGTTTCCCGCTAATTTTTCCCATTTTCAATCGTAACCCAAGTCGTCTCACGATAGTATACTACTGTAGAAGCCAAATCGCCCGTTTCTACTTGCGCGCGCTTCGATATTCCGTGGCATATTTCTTCTCATGATGCCGTCTTTACAAGCGTTTGAATCTCCCTTAGGGCTAGTATCCTGCCCCTGCATTGCCGTACCGCCTACTACTGTTAGCAATCGCCAGTCCCTGTCGTTCAAGAACTTTCCTACCTGCCGCCTTTCGTCATCGCACGCCGCCAAACCCGCCGGTTTTCCCGCAGCGTCGCGGAATTCCGTCGGCGGGAAACGCTGCTCTCTCCGTCGTCCGTCGTTTTCGCATCTCCAAACACGAGCGACGATACTTCTCCCATCGGACGACGACTTAACGCGCGCATCTTCCGCCGCTTCATCCGTCGTTTTGGAAAAAAAACATGCTCCCATTTCGCACGGAAGCGTCGACTCTCGCCCTCAATTGTCTACTTCTGCCCAAAAAGGATTTCCTTGTACGCATCTGGGCCAGCAAGTGCGTCCCATTGCAATTCAGCAGCAAATTGAAGTCCGCCACGTGGCTGAAAATCTGTCGCATGACGAGCAAATAGCACCCGTGATTCCTTGGTACGCGCGACACCTCCTCCTGCCGCATCGCACGGCGGATTTCGCGGTCAGGCAGCAGCCGGAAGGCGTTGATATTCGAGACGGGCAGCTGAACGGGCAACCAGACGGGCAGGCGAACGGGCAGGAATCTGCGGAAAAAAAGCAGCACCAGCAGCATCAGTGGCCGGACCTTTGGCAACCCGACCATGGCGAAGCGCACTTAGTAGACAGCAGCGGGAAGCGGTTGCTCGAGCCGCGCGCGTTACTAGTAGACGCGTTTGGCACGCTGGTAGAAACGGCGGAGGAGGAGACTACGGTGTATGCTTCGATTGGTCGGAAATTCGGTGTGGAGATTAGCCCAGAGGAGATTGGGAGGCGATACGAAGTGGCTTACCGGAAGCCATGGCTGCAGTCCAAGCTAAGGTAAGCACAAAACATGTTATGTCAGCATGTGTCGGTTCTCCTTTTGAGTCGACTCAAAAGCAGACTCCTTTTGAGTTGTCTCAAAAGCAGACTCCTTTTGAGTCGACTCAAAAGCAGACTCCTTTTGAGTCGACTCAAAAGCATACGAGGTGGCTTACCGGAAGCCATGGCTGCAGTCCAAGCTAAGGTAAGCACAAAACATGTTATGTCAGCATGTGTCGGTGTTGCGAGGTTGTTTTTGAGACGTCTCAAAAACAACCTCGCGATACGAAGTGGCTTACCGGAAGCCATGGCTGCAGTCTAAGCTCAGGTAAGCACAAAACATGTCATGTCAGCATGTGTCGGTTCTCTTTCCGGCTGTTTTGGCTGTTCCGGGTGGCTTGGTCTGGACAGTTCTGTTGACTCCGTTGACTCTGTTGAATCTGTCTATCTTGTGTTGACTCAGTTCCCCTCTGCCCTCTTCTTGCTGTCTTTGTTGACTCCGTTGACTCTCTGTGTGACTGACCTTTTTTACTCAATTTTTCTCTGCCTCCACTAACTGGCACTGTTTACTCTGTTGACTCCGTTGACTCCCTGGCAGGTATGAAGGCGATGCTCTACCCTTCTGGCATCACAGAATCTCCGAATCCACCGGCTGCTGCAACCCCAGCTACACCCAGGAACTCCACGGCTACTAACCCCGTTGACTCTGTTGACTCTGCTGACTTACATTGTCTTTTCTGTTGACCCTGTTGACTCCCTGGCAGGTATGAGGGCGACGCGCTACCCTTCTGGCATCACATCATTTCCGAATCGACTGGCTGCTGCAACCCCAGCTACACCCAGGAGCTCCACAACTACTACATAAAAAAGCACGCGTGGCGATTCACCGATCCGAACGCTCGGGCCGCGTTCGCCGCGATTCGTCGCGCTGGGATCAAGATCGCGCTCGTGTCGAATTTTGACACGAGGCTGCGGGACCTGCTCTGCGCGCTCGACTGCTACGATTGGTTCGACGCCGTGGCGGTTTCGGCGGAAGTCGAGGCGGAAAAACCTAATTCTGAGATTTTCCATGCCGCGTGCGACATGCTGGGGGTGCTGCCGCATGAGGCGGTGCATGTGGGGGACAGCCGGAATAAGGACGTGGCTGGAGCGAGGAGGGCTGGGTGCGGCGCAGCGTGGCTTTGGAATGAAGATGTGCATTCCTTCACAGAGGTAAGAGAGAGTGTCGTTTTTGTTCCTTCATTTTAGTCACACAAAGGTGAGGTAAAGGACGGGAGAATATACAGGTGGTGTGTGTCATGCTCGGCATGCGACATGCTGGGGTTGCTGCCGCATGAGGTGGTGCATGTGGGGGACAGCTGTAACAAGGACGTGGCGGGAGCGAGGAGGGCCGGGTGTGGTGCGGCATGGCTTTGGAATGAAGACGTGCACTCGTTTACAGAGGTGAGAGAAGGAGAATGGGCCGATGTTGTTGGAACTAGGTGGGATGCGGTGCAT